CATTCCCACCCACGCTGCCGCCACTCCATCCTCCTCCTCCTCCTCGAGGCCGGGGGATTGTGGAGTATCTGTGTTCCAGAGGGTGTTTTACGAGTTTGCTCCCTTATGTTAATCATTATCCTTAGCTTACCTCTCTCTCTACATGAATATATGCACTCCTTCCTTAAGCTGTGCCGTTGTTCATGTCGATGCGATACCAATACATCGCCAACCAATGCCAATGCAATGGCAATCGGGGATTATTTTCTTTCGGTGGATTTCAATGAGAAACCTTGTGGAAAATACATACAACATTTCAATAGGAGTCCTTCTGCGAAGAGAGCCAGAAAGCCATGAGGACTGGCCAGCGCAATGCCAGCGCAATACTAAAGCAGTGCCAACGCAATGCCAAACCAATGCCAAGGCGACCCCAATCCAATGCCAATGCAATGCCAATGGGGGCAATCCTTTGTGGTAGATTTCAATACGAATCCTTCTGGGGGTTGCAATAGGAATCCTTCTGCGAAGGGAGGAAGTGGAGCTCGCCAGCGTAATGCCAGCGCAATGCCAAAGCAGTGCCAACGCAATGCCAGCGCAATGCCAGCGCAGTGCCAATGCGATCTCAAATCCGATGCCAATGCAATGTCGTTGGGGGCAACCCTTTGTGGTATATTGCAAAAGGAAATCCTTTTTGCGGAGAGTTTCAATAGGAATCCTTCTGCGAAGGGAGGCATTAGGACTCGACAGCGCAATGCTAAAGCAGCGCCAACGCAATGCCAAACCAATGCCAAGGCGACCCCAATCCAATGCCAATGCAACGCCAATGGGGGCAATCCTTTGTGGTAGATTTCAATAAGAATCCTTCTGGGGGTTGCAATCCGAATCCTTCTGTGAAGGGAGGCATTGGAACTGGCCAGCGCAATGCCAGCGCAATGCCTAAGCAGTGCCAACACAATGCCAGCGCAATGCCAAAGCGATCCCAAATCCGATGTCAATGTAATGTCGCTGGGGGGGGGGGCAATCCTTTGTGGTAGATGTCAAAAAGAAAAGTGTGTTCTTTGCTGAGGGTTTCAATAGGAATCCCTCTGCGATGGGAGGCACCAGGATTCGACAGCGCAATGCGAAAGCAGCGCCATCGCAATGCCAAACCAATGCCAAGAAGACCCCAATCCAACGCCAATGGGGGCAATCCGTTGTGGTAGATTTCAATAGGAACCCATTGTTCTGTGGAGGGCTTCAACAAGAATCCTTTTGCGAAGGGATGCACTAGGACTTGCCAGCGCAATGCCAGCGCAATGCTCAAACAGTGCCAGCGCAATGCTCAAACAGTGCCAACGCGGAACTCTTTATTTTCGTCGTGGTTCGTGGCTCGTGGTGGTTCGTCCCCCTCGCCCCCCCCCCCCCCCTGAGCCTGATCCCCAGCTCCCCTGAGCCACCCACCCGTGGGAGCCTTCCTCCGTCCAGCCTTCCTCCGTCCAGGCTTCCCAATCCTTCGCAGCTCCTTTTTGTGCAAGAGCCAGGGCACGCGTGCCACTTGTCACCATGTGTATGTTTATGAGCTTCCCATTATTATTCGTCTTACAAATATTCGCATTATATGTCGTATTAGTATCCGCTGTCCGCTGGGTATTCAGATTCGTCTTCGTCGTAGTATTATGAACATTATTCGCAATCTTATACATATATATATATATATGATATGTTTTGATTTTTAATATAAAAAATATGCGTTAGATCATTCGAAATATTCCCAGTATTCAAAATAGCATGATTCTTGTTTTTCCGACGTATTGGCCTTATGTTTTTATTCGTAAAATTGCGATGCATAACACCATTTTGATAGTAAAAGTATTGTTCGTCGCCTTCTTCCTACCATTATCAGTCTTCCTCTGTTTCATGTGTCTCGTATGTTTCCCACTATCGTTTTTTATGTTCGTTCTTCATTAAATTGTTAGTATAAATCATATTATTGGTGTGAGTAGTATTGCTATCCTTCTTTTCATGGTATTAGTATTAAGTTTCCTCCTTCCTCCATCTCATCATCCTCCTCCTGCTCTTCCTCCTCCCCCTCCTGCTACTATTCCTCCTCCCCCTCCTCCTCCTCCCCCTCATCCTCCTCCCCCTCATCCTCCTCCTCCTCCTTCTCGTCCTCCTCCTCCTCCATCCCCTCCTCCTCTTCCTCTCAATCCGCCTCCCAATCAGAATCATATTCCCAATATCCTCCCCAATCGTGCTCTCGATCTTCCACCCCATCCGCCTCCGAACCCCCCGTCATCCGCCACACCACTCCATCTTCCAACATCCATCCTTCCAAACCCGCTCACAACCATCCTTCCTCCATCCACGAGCGCATCGCAGCGCGCACCCTGGAACGAGCGGGGCCCACGCAATGCTGGAGTGCGCGTGAAAAACCCGAGCCGGCCATCCGACGGGCCTTGCTGTAATGTCAGCTTCTGATTAACACATCAATGGGGCTCGTGCAATTAAGGAAAAGGTTCCCCTGCTCAGGCGAATCGCTGGGTGGCACCCGCCAAATTGAAACACAACGCGGCGGCACCAGCGATCAACCGACGCCCAGCCGCCAGGGAGAAGGCGACAAGAGCAGCACGGACTGGGGGAGAGGGGGGTGGGGCGGAAGGCAAAGGCGGCAGAAGCAGGGGCCGCCGGCGCAGCCACAGCCGCTTTGTTTCCTTGCTTCGCAATCGAAAGGAGCTCCCGTCGCCGCGCTGGAAGCGGGCCCTGAAGGAAGCGGGCCCAGAACCCTGGAGTTCCCGCCAGGACCAGCTCGGTCGTTTTTTCGGCTGCCTTGGGGCCCGCCGAGGGCCTGGGGACCCGAAAGAAGGAATAAACTGTCAGGGCCCACTTCCCGCAGGACACGCGTCCACCGCGGCGCCCCGCAGCGAGTCTTAAAAGGCGAGCCAGCAGGGCGCAGACCTCCTCCTCCTCCCTCCACCTCTTCCCCCTACCCCCTCCTCCCCTCCTCTCTCTCTTCTTCCTCCTCCTCCTCCTCTCCGCCTCCTCCTCCTCCTCTCCTCTCTCCTCCTCATCTTCCCCTCCTCCCTCCTCCGCCTCCTCCTCCTTCCTCTTCCTCCTCCTCCTCCTCCTCCTTCTTCTCCTCCTCCTCCTCCTCCTCCTCCTCCTCCTCCTCCTCCTCCTCCTCCTCGTAGTTCATTCCGTTTGCCATCATCCGCGACGCGGTGGTTCCCCAAGCTCTCCGAGCCCTGGCGCGCGTGATTCAAACAAATGTTTCGCGCCTCGCGGGGTCTGTTCATCAGCCTGGGGGGGGGGTCCATCAATTGTTAATCACAACCTGACATTACTCAGGCAGAAGTGTTGGCGCATGGGCGCGAAAGCCATCGCGTTGACCCGTGCTCATTTCCTCAACCCATGTCGCCTTGTCGTTCGTTCCCCCCTCTGTGCTCGTGTCCTCGCCGTCGTCCTTCGATCTTTTGCTGGGCCGGCGCGAGGTTATCCCTGAGAAGACACCCGGCGCCCCCCTGGCGCTCTCTGATCTATTTGTGGTGCCCGCTGGAGCCGGAGGCCACGGCGCGTCCCACGGCGCGTCCCGCGCCTGCAGGGTCAGGGGCCTCCTTGCCCTGGGCTCTTGGCAGACACGCTCACGCAGCGAAGCGACATCGGGACTGGAACAGATCGGAGCGGGATAAATCGGCGATCTCCGAGGTCCGGCAGTTCTGGAGGATGCATCGGGAACCGCGGCCGTTCCAGAGCGCGCCAGAAGGCTCTGAGAGCGCTCCGGAGCGAATCATCCCAGTCCTAGCCCTGGCCGACAGGGCCCGAGAACCCCGCGTGCCAAGAGAGCCCTGGCCGGAGCCCCTACCCTGGCCTGCAGACCGCGCGTTGAGTCACGCGGCAAGCGCGTGCTCGGTACCCCTGTTGGCGCCTGCGCGTGGAGAACAACGTGCCTGGAGCGAACGTGCCGAACGCATGTCCGATATCCCCTCTCCGCGTACGTACTGCTACGTGTGAGAATCCGCTGGCCACATGTCTAGAGGCCACCCAGATGGGGTCCGAGTGGATGGGGTCGAAGGATCGCGCCGCATCGCATCGCCGACCGCATCGCCGACGCGTCGGCGATGCATGGGCGCCACCAGCGTGGAGAAACTCAAACTCCACATCGAGCCGCATCGTCGAGGCATCGGCGATGCGGAGCGATCCGTCGGCCCCATCTGCTCGGACCCCATTTGCGAGGCCTTCGAGACGCCCTTTACGCGCGAAAACACGCGCGAACACGCGCGCCCAAGGGAACGCCTCGGCTGCCCCCCCCCCCGGCGCTCGCAGTTGCACGTGCAGGGGTTCCGACGACCTCTCCGACGCACCCTGCTTTTGACACCCCTCCAGTCCAGGGCCGGGGGCCCCAACGCATGAAGCGAACCCTGGCCAGGAGGACGCGGGGCAGCCAGGACGACGGGGACGGCTGGAGGCGAGGGGCCGTGCACCGTCCACGGACCGATGGAGCTCGAGGAGGATTTCCCGGAGCGCCGACGCCTCCTGAGGAATTTGTCCGGTCTTCTGGGCCGACTGCGCACTGCTCCCGGTCGCCTTGTTGCACCTGCTCGCTCAGACTGCAGCACGCGCCCGTCCAAATCGTCGGCCAAGATCCTCGAACTGTCCCCTTATGCGCCGCCGTGCATGCCCGCACAGCCGTCGCCATCCACATCTTTCTCACCCTCGTCGACCTCATTCTCACGATCGCGGTCATCACATCTCTCATCACCAGGGCCGTCCACGGCGACGGCGAAGCCGAAAGCCGATCGCACCGGCAGCGAAACCGACCGACCGACACTGACGGGCCGCAGGCAGCCTGGAGGGGCGCAGCGACGCGGCAACGACACCACGACCGACCGAACCGATCCCACCGAACGCAACCGGCTGCAGCGCAGCCGAATCGACCGAACAACAAACACCCTTGATCACCCCATGCTGGCTCGCCATTACCACCGTCATCCTCGCCATCGTCTCCAGCGTCCCTCGCCGATTTGGAGGAGGCAAACCCTCCCCGCCCGTGTGGACTCCGCGCCGCGCTTCAGCCCGCTCTCCAGCTCGTTCGCGAAGGAACGGAACATCTCCTCGCCGCACCCGCGACGGATCGGCCGACCCTGGAAACCATGAACCCAAAGAGGGTGCTCTCGCCAACGGAGGGGGACAACAAGCGTGGGGTGGAGAACCGTGCACCTCTCGTGTTCCTGCTGGGCCCGCGGTGGCAGCTTTGGGGGGCCGTTCGGAGCCCGCTCGGGGCCACGTTCCTGCTGTCCTCGATCCCGCCACGATCCTCGATCCTCGAGGTGCGAGCCTCGACCCTCGTCGTGGGCGAACAACATGCCCTTGTCCACGGCAAGGCGGGCTGGGGCCCCTGGGGCGCGACCCCGCGGATGCGGGAAAAATGTTGTCCGCGGATGCCCCGCGCGGAACGCATCCGTGCGACCACATCTATGCGGGACCGCGCCCCGGAACACAGACCGCGAGGGCGCGGACACGGGTACGCTCGCCGCTCGTGGGCCACAGCTGGGCACGGAGGCGTGCCGCGGCGGCGGCCCCAACGACACGCCGCGCCCTGCAAGCGGACCGCCTGCCGCCGCGCTCAGGGTGGCGAGAGGCGTGGGGGCTGGGCCACCGAAGCCTGGTGGGCCAGAGCCGACGGCGCGATACGCCGAGCAAGCGCTCCTGACCGTAAGAGGGGCTGCCGCGCAAGACCGGCCAAGGTGGCGCCCCTGGCCCTTGGGGAGCGGAAGCCCCGAGCAGCGGCGGGCCGAAGTCTCGCCAGGGCCAGCAGAACGCGGACAGACCGCGGGAGGAGGGGGCGCCCTGAGCAGCGCTGGGCCCAGGTCAGCGCCCAGATCTCAGGGGGGAGGAGGAGGAGGAGGAGGAGGAGGAGGAGGAGGAGGAGGAGGAGGAGGAGGAGGAGGAGGAGGAGGAGGAGGAGGAGCGGGGCGCCTGCCAGAGATCCGCGACGTGCCCCAGGGGGGAAGGCAGAGGGGGCGGGGCCCTCCCAGAGGGCTCAGAGGGGCCTCCGGCCCTGCCGAGAGGCTTCCCCGGGCTGCCTCTCCGAGGCCACGGAGGGCCTCTCGGAAGGCCGGAGGGCTGCCGCGAGGCCCCGCCGCCCTTCTGAGGTGGCCTGCACGCTCCAGTCGGGGCCTTGACCTAAGGAACGATAAATAAGGAACGAGGCCCCCTCTTCCTACAAGTTAAACTCCGATTTCCCATCGAAAACCCAAGGAAAACCCAAGGCAAACTGTGAAGCAATCCAGGAACACGGAGCCCCTCCCCAACGAACAGGGTTCCTTCTTCAGGGCCCCGACTGTATCGTTTCCCCCTCGGCGCGCCGCCGAAGAGAGTGGGACGCACGAGAACATCCCAGTACGATGTGTCCTCCGTGGAGGTGCGCGTCCGACCCGAGCAGGTAGTACAAGCATCTTGTAGTGCATCGTTTTCCGAGCGGCATGGCCAGAAAGCGCCCGGCACGGAGCTTACACCATGGGAGCTCTCGCCGCGCGCGTCGCCCCCGGAAGGGCGACGCACACATAGAATTAGGTATGTTGGGGTGACGCCGAGAGAAAGAGAGAGAGAGAGAGATTACGTCGGGCATGTCCCTCTACAGGAGGAATATTCAAAAATAGTCCGAAAATCATGTGGGGGCGATGTTTCGACTATGTTTGACTATGCTTGAGTATTGCTTGGCTATCTTTTAACTTTCGCCCGCAATCTGCCTGTAAGAGAACATGCCCGACCTAATACACATATTCGACTACACGGAAGAGTGACCTTTCGCAGGAGTGACCGTTGGTGCGGGCACAGTGGGTCCCCAGATGGCTGAAAATGAAGCAGTAGCAGCTGGTTGCGCGCCCAGGTTTAGTCCCCCGAGGCTCCCAAAAAGCCGCGAAACCAAAGGTCACTCTTACCCAGGGTCACTCTTGCGTATAGCCGATGTGTATATACAAATATCTATATATATATATATACAAACATACATACAAGAATCATCATCATCATCATCATCATCATCATCATCATCATCATCATCATCATCATCATCATCATCATCATCATCATCATCATCATCATCATCAACACCATCATCTTCATCATCATCATCATCATCATCATCATCATCATCATCATCATCATCATCATCATGCTCTTCGACCGCGAGTAGCCAAGGCCAGCGAGACGGCGGGGAGGGCGGGCGAGCCTGGGCGCCGTGAGGCAGCGACCGGCCCGCGACCCCCCCCCCCCCCCGAGCTCAAGGCCGCGCGGTCTCCGCGCCGGTCCGGAGAACGGACGAGCGCGCTCCCCCACTCGCCAAAGGAGCGGCTCGCAGCTGGCCCGCAGCCGCCGCGGCAGATCCACGATCCCGGTCGCTGTTGTCGACAACGACGACGGCGAACTCCCGGGAAAGCCTCGAGGTTCTCAGGAAACCCTGGAAGATTCCTTGAGACATGTGGGGGAAACAACGTGACGTGATCCGGGGGGGGGAGGGGCGGGGGCGATCACGAGCGTTATCGCCCAGACTATTTTCTTAGAGAAAAGAACTTATATGCTTTTGTCGGACGTTTGCGAGTAGGCACTTGGCGAGCAGCGGAACCCGCTCGGTGGGGAGCAGAGCGAGCAGCTCGGAGCGCCCACGCGAGCCGGCGGCGCGCACGGGGCGCCCTCGGGCCATCCCACGCGCGCCCCCCGAGCGACATGCTCTGGAGGCTGAAGGGGGCCACTGGGCACTGGCGGCAGCCCGCGCGGTCCCCGCCCGGCTCGGAACGCCGGGCGGGAGCCGCACGTGCGTGCCGCTGAAGCATCTGGGCCCTGTCCCGCGGGGCTTCGCAGAAACGCCGCGGGGCAACGCGCACGGTGTCTCATTTTCTGGCCGGCTCTCCGAGCGGCAGGTGCCGGACAGGAGGAGGAGGAAGAGGAGGAGGAGGAGGAGGAGGCGGTGGTGGTGAAGGAGGAGGAAAATATACGTACACTGTGGTTGGGCCGCCATCTGCCACTCAATGGTGGACAGACCGAACATAGCGCAGTGGACCTGTTCCCAGCCCCCCCCAAACGGGGGGTGGCGTGAGGCGGGCGGCCTCTCCCGAGGGGAGCGTCTTCAGAAGACAGGAGGCCTCTCAGAGCCCGCCCGGCTGCAAAACGAAGAAGGCTGCTACTGAAAACCCCTGGGCACTTCCTCCTCCTCCTCCTCCTCCTCCTCCTCCTCCTCCTCCTCGCCCTCCTCCTCCTCCTCCTCCTCCTTCTCCTCCTCCTCCGAGGAGGAGGAGGAAGAGGCCCCCGCGTCATCGGCAGCTCCTCGCGTTCTCAGGTGGCTACCCCTATCGCGCCATGCCTCTGCGCGCGCCGCCGATCGATGCGTTGCCGCATCTCCTGGCCAGCCTTCCCCCTGCCACCCCCCGACGAGGGAGAAGGGTGGCATCACCGCCGCCGAGCACCCACGAGCACGCCGCATCCACCGAGGTCTGGGAGCACAGTGGACTTGTGGAGGCCGCGTTTGGGGCGGATATCTCCCCTCATCAGGCGGTCTCCCTGCAGGGCAGGCGCAGGCTGGCTGCCGCCAGACGTGTCCCTGGCCCGAGGCGACCCCTAGATCCCCTGCAGCCCTCGACGAAGCTAACCTAACAAGTTGTTGACGCGCCCCTGCAATGTCGCTCCTTTCGCCCCTTCAATGTCGCCCCGTCCATGTCGAAGCATAGAGAAGCGCGGTCCGGGCCGGCGAGACTCGGAAGGTCCACAATGACGAACATTGGAAGGGGAGCGCCAGCAAGTATTTTGCATGAACATCGAATACACGAGTAAATTACGTCGCGCGTTTTGAGGCAAATTCTGCCGAGGGGAGTAGGTGGCCTCCACGCCCTCCAGAGCACCCCTCAGGGGCTCCGAAATTGCACGAAAAGCGAGGTAACCTTGGACCAGGAGCACCTTCTGACAACCCCCCGAACGCGGGATGGGGACTCCCGAAATGGGAACAAAAAATAAGCACGAGCCCAACCACAAATGCTGTCCAAAACAGACAGCGGCCGCTGTTGGGCAGGCGGCCCTCCGCCTCAGATCGCCGACGCCCGCGGCGACGCCAACAGCGAGCCCTGTGCAAAAGGAAGAGGAAATTCGATCGGCCTTCCAGAGGCCTCCCAGAGGGGGCCCGAATCGGCGATGCATCGGCGACGTCGGCGATGCATCGGCGCCGTCGGCGTGGAGAAAGCCGGGCCCTGCGTCGAGCCGCACCGCCGATGCGTCGGGGAGAGGCCCAAGTCCCCGGGCCCATGGCTTTCCGCAGCCGTGTCGATCGCACCCGCGGGGAGGGCCTGCCCGGCCGTGCGAGAGCGCTCGCGGCCCGCCCGCGCGCGCAACGGGGCGAGGCCAGAGGTGCGCAGCTCCGCCAGGACACGCGCGCGCGCGCCAGCGCGGGGGGGCACCCTCCCCTGGCGGAGCCGCCGCCCCAGAGGAGGAGGAGGAGGAGGAGGAGGAGGAGGAGGAAGAAGAAGAGGAGGAGGAGGAGGAGGAGGGGGAGGAGGGGGGAGGGGGGCGCGGCGAGGGGCGACGCGGAGAGCGAGCAGCTTGGAGAGAGGCAGACTGCACGGGCAGGCCGCGAAAGTGCTGCGCCGTGAGCAGAGGCCTCCCAGGTGGGGTCCGAGTGGATGGGGTCGGAGGATCGCGCCGCAACGCCAACGCATCGGCGATGCATCGGTGACACATCGGCGACGCATCGGCAACATCAGCGTGGAGAACATCGGGCTCCGCATCGAGCCGCATCGTCGATGCATCGGCGATGCGGAGCGATCCGTCGGCCCCATCTGCTCCGACCCAATCTAGGAGGCCTAGAATGGGGGGCTGGGCCACGAGGGTGGACCATGAGAGGCTGGACCATGACGGGCTGGACCATGAGGGGCTGGACCATGGGCCGTGGTGGGCTCCTGTGGGGGCGGTGCTGCGCCACGGGAGGGCCCCAGCCCACCCCCAGCAGGGCCAGGAGAGAGCTCCGGAGTCTGGGACCCGTGGGAGGGTTCGGGAAAAGGGGGAGCTCTGCCCAAGTCGCAGGGGAGGGAACCCTGGCTTGGCCGGGAGGGCCTCCTCGAGGGGAAGCCCCCCCACCAGACCTGGGCAAAACCCCGACCTGGTCGGCTTGGCCGGTGTGGGCCCTCCGCCGCAGAGGTGGGGGACCGGACCCTGGACACCGAAGTTGGCACTTCGTGGGCGGCGGACTGCCAACACCCTGAGGGCTGGCAAGCGAAAGCCGCGAAGGACGGGCCGCAGAGGCAGGGACGCAAGGACACCCCGAGGACACCCGCACGCCCTTGCTGTGAGGTTTTATCTGCAAGACCCGTGCCAGCGCCACCCCCTCCTCAGGAGCCGGGCTCAAGTCGGGCGTGTCCCCCTTACAGGGGGATTCTCGACGAAAAATAAAAAAGACTCCAAAACATACTCCAAAATGCCCCCCCCCCCCAATAAATACCCAAAAATAGTCCCCTTGACGAATTTTACACTACTTCTGGACACTCCTCATGTAGAGGGGCGGGCCCGACTTCAAGCCATAGGCTATAGGCCGCCCGCCCTCGCGCGCCGAGGCCCCGCGGCGCGCCCCGCGCGCGGCGGAGAGCCTCCGCGCCCCTCCGCGAGGAGGCGCCCGGCTTGGCGAGGGGGCAGCGCTCCCGCCCTGGCCGCGGCGCCAGCGAGGCGCGACGAGCCCCTCGCGGCCCCCCGGGGGGAAGCGAAGCGAAGCGACCGCCGGGGGTCGCGCGCGCTCCACGGGGGAGCCCGCCCGGGCCCAGCGGGGCACGGCGCAGAGGCCGCGGCCTCGAAGGTGCGAGCTGTGCGCCTGCCCGTCGCCTCGGCGAGGCGCGCCTGCCGAGCGGCCCCGGGGTGGGGGGGGCCGGCAGCAGCGGCAGCGAGCTCCCCCACCCTCGGCAGCAGGGGCTCCCCGGGCGTCCGCCGCGGGCCCTGAAAGCGACCACCTGCCAGACCGCTCCAGCCCGACCCGACGGCCCGAATTTCGGGTTGGGGGGGGGGGGGGTACGGGTTCCATTCCTCCTCCTCCTCCTCCTCCTCCTCCTCCTCCCCTCTCCTCCTCCTCCTCCTCCTCCTCATGCTGCTCCTCCTCCTCCTGCCTCCTCTCTCCTCTGCCTCCTCCTCCTCCCTCCTCCTCTCCCCTCCTCTTTCCTCCTCCTCCTCCTCATGCTCCTCCTCTACTACTCCTCCTCCCCCCTCTCCTCCGTCCTCCCTCCTCCCTCCTCGGCTCATGCTCCTCTCTCTTCCTCCTCCCTTCCTCCTCTTCTCCTCCTCCTCCTCCTCCCTCCTCCTCCTCCTCGCTCCATGCTCCTACTACTGCTCTTGCCCTCCTCCGCCTCTCTCCTCTCCCTCATCATCCACCGTCCTCCTCCTCCTCCTCCGCCTCCTCCTCCTCCTCCTCCGCCCTCCTACCTCCTCCTCCCTTGATCCTCCTCATCCCTCCATCCTCCTCCTCCTCCTTCTCCTCATCTCCTCCTCTCCTCTCCTCCTCCTCCTCCTCCTCCTCCTCCTCCTCCTCCTCCTCTTTGCCATGTCCCACCACCACCCCCACTGGAGATGGAGGGCACATTGAGGCCTTCGGGCTGGGTTGGGGTGGTGAGAAAACAAAGCTCAGCAAGCGGCGAGGGCACCCTGCGAGTTCTGTCGCCTGCTCGGCGGGTCCAAGCAGGCCCTCGCCCCGCAGCATGGTGCAAACGACTGTTCACCGCAGCGATGAGGATTCCCATGGTTAGCGACTGAGGACTCGGGGGGCCAAGTGATGGGCACTCAGGCCCGCCTCCACTTCACACCACCTGCAATCAAATCGACTACTCAGGGCCAAGCGATGCCCCTCTTCTACCCTGAGATCGCGGTTGCCCACGCCGCTGCAATCATACCCCGCTCCTTCCTGTCATCGAATATGGGTGCTCTAAGTGGAAAGCCCTCCGACTTCCCAAGTCGACACAACCCGACGCGCGCGCGCGCCCAACACGAACCCTCCAGAAGGCCTGAACGCCGACGAGTTGCCGTCGCTTGGCGTCGATCTTGAGGGAGTATTGTCTGAGGGTTGCCTCGCTCCTCACGTGTATCCTGGCACCGCCCATTTCTGATGAAGGAAGAAACTGAGGAGAGGATGACGAGAATAATGATCGATGCAGCCTGCTTGCAGTTCATGAGACATGAAAGCTACACAAACACTTTTCCGAAGTAATGGGGTCGTCGCAAGCATAGCGCACAATGCACACCACCCATCGCTCAGGAAACATGCTACAGCACGCCAAGCTTTCAGAATGCACAGAGAGATCTGCATTCGATTCAAAGCGGCAGCAACGAAGCCGTGAACATGACAACGAAACATACAGTGCCATCAGCTGGCCACTAGCGCGGCGGTGGTCGGGTGAACTGTGACGACGATTCGTGTCCGCCCACCAGGCGGACAAGTAAAACCACTTCCCGCAGAAAAGTGAGTCTTCATCCTCGTTTGAGGAGGTTCTGTGGAAATTACATCATCCTGACCCCCTGCGCAAGAAGAAATGAGGCCAACAACTGTGCTTCCTGCACCGTTCATGGCGAATCTTACTACCGAGTCCGGCGCAGACTCCAAACCAGCGCCCTCGCTCGGGAAGTCATCGCAAAGTCAGCCCCAGGGGAGGGGCCATTCCTCATCTATCCGCCACCGTGCCTTCTGCACGCAGAGGCGTGGAAGAATGCTAGGGTCTGTCGGGTAGGACTTTTGTTATCTAAATAAGGGTCCCCACCCCCTCCCGCGGCCGCGGACTTCTGCGTGCATCACCCCTAATCACCGAGGCCACTTCCCTCGTACCCGCTCGGAGATGGTGCACGTCCAGCATGGCAGCTACTGCCTGAACCTCCCTTCCACGCGTGCCAGCTCGAGGATGGTGCACTTCCCGCACGGCAGCTCATGCCTGAACCCTTATTCCATGCGCGCCCGCTCGAGGATTGCGCGCATCCCGCATGTTTGCTACCTTCTAGACCCCTCATCCCACGCGCACCCGCTAGAGGATCGTGCACTTCCCGCATTCCCAGGTGCTGCTCCCAAGCGCTCCAGGGCCACCCAGGCCACGATCCCTCGCTACAAATGATGGATGTGCGCCCCGAGCTTCCATTGCGGCCCGTGCAGGCAATCAAGGCCACCAAGATGGTCCAAGATACGTCGACGACGGCCCCAAATGGCCCCAAGACGGCCGGTTTTTGCTTCAAGGTGGCCCAGGATGCCTCCAAGAGACCCTAAAAGGGCAACAAGAGTACAGAAGGACTTCCAAACAAGATCCGAAGACCAAAATCCGCGATTTCTCTTTGGATTTTGAATATTCGCATTCTCGCATTTTCGGGCTGCCGTCAGCTCAAGACGGCCCAAGAGGACTCCAAGATGGCCCAAGAGGCAATAAGGCTGCCCAAGGTGGCCGAGGCCGAAGACGGCCTTAGAAGGCCCTTCGACGGCCGCAAACGGCGCCAAAACGGCCCCACGACGGCTCCCAGGCACCAACCATACGGCCAAGAGGGCCGCAAGAAGACCCAGGAGAACCCAAACCCGCCCAAGAGGAGCCCAAGGGACCCCCACGACTGCCTCACGGGAGGCTAAGACAGCCCCAAGACGGCCCAAACGAGCTTCTTCTTCTTATCATTATTATTATTCTAGGATCATTATTATTATGACTCATCTTTTTATGTGTATTAGTACGATTCTAAATATTACGATTAGCATTATCGTTATAAATATTGCTATTATAATTATTGTTATTATGATGAGCCTTCTTCTTGTTATTATTAGTGTTGTCATTACTACTAGTAGTATGATTCTTCTTAATCATCATTATCAGCAGCATCATCATCTCATCGTCTTCGTCGTCATCACCACCACAACCATTACAGTCACCATCACAATCACCATTATCAGCACAATCAACCTCATCACCAACAACAGCACCTCATCATCGCCAGCATCATCAGCAGCATCACCACCACCACCACCATCACCATCATCACCCGTATCATCATCCTCCTGATCCTCCTCCTCGTCATGAACATCACCGTCTATCCTCAGCACAATTCTCATGAGCGTCCTCATAATCAGTGCCATGTTGATCATCATCATCATCGCCACCACCACCATCACCATCATCATCATCATCATCATCGTCATCATCATGAGCATCATCATCATCATCATCATCAGCACCATCAGCATCAGCATCATCATAATCAGCATCCCCATCATCATCATCATCATCATCATCATCATCATCATCATCATCATCATCATCATCAGCATCATCATCATCATCATCAACCATCACCGTCACCGTCCCGTCGTCATCGTCATCACCAGCAGCATCACCATCATCGTCATCATCACCAGAATCACCATCGCCATCAGCATCACCATCACAGTCGCAATCACCCTCATCATCAACAGCAGCATTATCAGAAGCATCATTAGCATAGCCAGCATCATCATCATCAGCAGCATCACCACCATGACCACCGCCACAGGCATCATCATCGCCATAGTACATCATCATAATCAGCAGCAGAATCGTCGGCATCATCAGCATCATCATCAACATCATCATCATCATCCATCGTCATGATCATGATCATGAGCATCATCAGTGCCATAGTCATCAACATCATCACCGTAATCAGCAGTAGCAGCCTTATCATCATCAGCATCAGCAGCATAATAATCAGCAGCAGCATCATCACCACCATCATCAGCAGCAGCAGCATCATCGTCATCATAATCATCATCATCAGCAGGAGCAGCATTAGCACCTACATATCATCATCAGTATCAGCATCTTTGTCGTCATCACCATCATCCTCGTCATCATCATCCGAAGCAGCATCATCAGCAGCATCATCACCACCATCACCATCGCCACCACTGCCACCGATCACTGTCACCGTCATCGTCCCCGTCCTCCTCAGAACCGTCATCATCCTCACCACGGCTCTCCCAAAAGCCTGGAGACCCGAAGCGTCACGCGTGACGGCCTCCCGTGCCCCTCGAGCGGTCGCCACCCAGAATGCTGGGCCGGCACGGTGGCGGGACTTGCCGCAGGCAGCTGGATCTACACACACACACACACACACACACACGCACACACACACACACACATTATATATATATATATATATATATATATATATATATACATCCCGCTGTCTGGCCCTGCCATGCGCGAAACGCCTACTATGTGCAGAGGCGCTCCGTTTTCTCGTGAGAACAGTCGCCGCCAGCACTGAGAACGAGTATCATATATCCATATATCTCTCTATACATATACATAGATATATATATATATATATATATATATATATAGGTATGGACAGGCGGGGTCGGCGGAGCCGATCGAAATCGGAGGGGGGGCGGAACCGAGCCCGAGAGGGCCATCCGATGTCGCTGGGCCAGGCCCCTGTTTCCATGTACAGAAATATGCACTCGACATTGAGCATGCAGGCGGAGGGACAGGAAGGCAAAAAAACAGAGCAGTTAGCGATAACTCCCTGTGGCCTTTTTTACGACACCGTCGTTATAATAATGGTTTGCACTATCCCTCCCTCATGCGTCCGTTTCCCCTGGCCCTACCCTGCAAACTCTTCCTCATCCTCCTACTCTTTTTGCGGAGGAGCCTCTTGGTGGCCTCACGAAAATCTTTACGAGCTTCTTTGGGCCTTCTGGAGCCTGCTGGACGCCTTCTGGGGGCCTCTGGGGGCTTCCTCGGGCCACCCTGCTTCCAACCGCGGTCCTCCTGAACGACAGGGTCACGATTTGGAATGATTCGGGGGGCGTCTTGGGGCCCATCTTGGGCCGTCATGGGCTCTCTTCGGGTCATGTTGGGGCCCTGTTGGGCCGTCGTGGGACTCTCTTGGACTGCCTGGAGGCCCTTTGGGGCAGGCGTGGGGCGATGTTCGGACCTCCTCGGCGGCCTCAGACGCCCCGCAGACCGAAGAACAGAGCATTCCAAAAGTCATATACAAAAAGGAATCGGTGTTTTTGTCTGACTTTCTTTGGACACCCGAAATGGGTACCGAAAGAATGGGTACAATACCCAACGGCAAATGTTGTCCCAAACCAAGAGCGGCCGCTGTTGGTTTGGCGGCCTTCTGTCTCAAATGGGCACGGGCCGCGGCGGCGCGGGCAGCGAGTCCTGTTCAGAATGAACAGGAAATGCTGTTGGGCATCGTGCCCACTCTTTCAGTGCCCACCTCGGGCGTGCAGACTTTCGAAAGCCTCTTGAGGATCTCCTTTGAGTCGTCTTCGGGCGCCTGGTGGGCGCCTGGGCCCTCGCAGGGGCCGCTCGGCTGCCCTGCCGAGCGCTCTGGGCCCGCTGCCTGGGCCCGCAGGGGCCTCCGGGAGCCCCAGGACGCCCGGGGGGCCTTCTGCGGGGACGTCCACTGGGCCCCGGCGGCCACAGATCCTGGGGGTCCCGTTTTGGGAAGAAGTTGTCCCGCCCCCCGGATTGCAAAAATATAGGTATGAGTGCATGTGTATATACATATATATATATATGTGTATGTACATACACATCCTCCTCCTCCTCATCCTCCTCACCCTCCTCATCCTCCTTCTCCTCCTCCTCCTCCTCCTCCTCGTCGTCGTCGTCGCCGCCATCCCCGCCATCCCCGCCTCCAATTCGTCCACACCCTCAGGATGACCGCCTGCTCCGCGTAATAGGTGCTCTTCTGCAAGGCGTTCATCCCGTTCAACTTGGCATTGGACCTGCACTCCGCTCCGCCCAGCTTCCCTGCCACGGAGGCTACGGAACCGAGAGCCTGGAAGAGCGGAAGGGAGGAAGAGGCCCAAAGAGGGAATGCGGGCCGGAGAGAACTTGGGGATCCCCCCCCACAAAAATGCGGTAACAGACCGTGCGGTGACCTCGAAATAACAGAAGACCTCACCGCACGGTCCGTCACCGCCCTGTTGTGGGACCCTGGAGACCCCAGTCGCCCGAGACCTCCTCAGAAAACGACGCAAGTCCGAAAACAATGCGGTCACACTCACACCATACGGCGTGGACACCGCATCGTTTGGGGGCCCCCGAAGACCGAGAGGAAGAAGGGGAGAGTGCGTGGGAGAGGCAGGGAGAGAGGGAGAATCGGGGCGAGCGGCAGAAAACTGTGCAGGCCAACAGCCAGATCGGGAGCCCACCTGGCAGCCTCTGACTCGAAGGGCGCGCGCTGCATCATCGCGATCAAAGTACGGGCCCCGCGCGCGGCAACAGAAGGGCGACGGGGCGGGGGAGATCATGCAGACGGGGGCAGCATCGGCATCGACGACGGCGTCGGCGTCGTCGGCGTTGTCGTCGGCGTCGGCGTCTTCGTCGTCGTCGTCGTCGTCGGCGTCGGCGTCGTCGTCGTCGTCGGCGTCGGCGTCGGCGTCGGCGTCAGCGTCGGCGTCGGCGTCGGCGTCGGCGTCGGCGTCGGCGTTGGCGCCAGCATCGACGTCGGCGTCGGCGTCGGCGGCGTCGTCGTCGGCGCCGTCGGCGTCGGCGTCGTCGGCGTCGGCGGCGGCGTCGTCCGTCGTCGTCGTCGTCGTCGTTGGCGTCGTCGATGTCGACGTCGTCGGCGCTGGCATCGGCGTCGTCGTCGTCGTCGGCGTCGGCGTCTTCGTCGTCGTCGGCATCGGCGTCGCCGTCGTCGTCGGCGTCTTCGTCGTCGTCGTCGTCGGCATCGGCGTCTTCGTCGTCGTCGGCGTCGGCGTCGGCAGCGGCGTCATCGACGTCGGCGTTTTCGACGACGTCGTCGTCGTCGGCGTCGGCGTCGGCGTCGGCGTCGGCGTCGTCGTCGGCGTCAGCGGCGTCGGCGTCGTCGGCGTCGTCGTCGTCGCCGTCGGCGTCGGCGTCGGCATTGGCGTCGGCATCGATGACATTATCATCGGCGTCGGCGTCGTCGTCGTTGGCGTCGGCGTCGGCGTCGGCGTCGGCGGGCGTCGGCGTCGGCGTCGGCGTTGGCGTCGGCGTCGTCGGCGTCAGCGTCGTCGCCGGCGTCGGCCTGTTGGCGTCGGCATCGACGACGGCGTCGGAGTCGGCGCGTCGTCGGCGGCGTCAGCGACGTCGGCCGTCGGCGTCGTCGTCAGCGTCGTCGTCGTCGTCGGCGTCGCTGTCGTCGTTGGCGTCGTCGGCGTCGGCGTCGTCGTTGGCGTCGTCGGCGTCGTTGTCTTCCTCGTCGTCGTCGTCGGCGTCGGCGTCGGCGTCGGCGTCGTCGGCGTTGGCGCCGGCATCGACGACGGCTTTGGTCGGCGGCGTCGTCGTCGTCGGCGCCGTCGTCGTCGGCGTTGTCGGCGTCGGCGGCGTCGTCGTCCGTCGTCGTCGTCGTCGTCGTCGTCGTCGTCGTCGGTGTCGCCGTCGTTAGCGTCGTCGTCGTCGACGTCGTCGGCGTTGGCGTCGGCGTCGTCGTCGTCTTCGTCGTCGTCGGCGTCGGCGTCGGAGCGTCGGCGTCGGCGGGCGTCGGCGTCGTCGTCGTCGCGTCGGCGTCGGCGTCGGCGGCCTCCGGCGTCGTCGCGGTCGTCGGCGTCGGCGTCGGCGTCGTCGTTGTGGTCGGCGTCCGGCGTCGGCGTCCTCGTCGTCGTCGTCGCCGTCAGGCGTGGGGATCTTTCGTCGTCATCGTCGTTTTCGGTCGGCGTCGGCGTTGTCGGCAGTCGTCGGCGTCGGCGTCTGCGTCCTGCGTCGTTCGTCGGCGTCGCATCGACGACGCGTCGGCGTCGGCGGGCCGTCGTCGTCGTTGTCGTCGTCGGCGACGCCCCCCTCGAATCGGCGTCGTCTTCGGTCCGTCGGCAAGTCGTCGTTTCGGCGGCGTCGTCGACCGTCGTCGTCGTCGTCGTCGTCGGCGTCGCCGTCGTCGTCGCGTCGTCGTCGACGTCGTCGGCGTTGGCATCGGCGTCGTCGTCGTCGGCGTCGGCGTCGTCGTCGGTGTCGGCGCCAGCGTCGGCGTCGGCGTCGTCGTCGTCGGCGTCGGCGTCGGCGTTGGCGTCGTCGTCGTCGGCGTCGGCATCTTCGTCGTCGTCGTCGGCGTCGGCGTCGTCGTCGGCGGTGTCGGCGTCTTCGTCGTCGTCGTCGTCGTCGGCGTCGGCGTCGGCGTCGGCGTCGACGTCGGCGTTGGCGTCGGCATCGACGACGGCGTCGGCGTAGGCGGCGTCGTCGGCGGCGTCGGCGGCGTCGGCGTCGTCGTCGTCGTCGGCGTCGTCGTCGTCGGTGGAGTCGTCGTCGACGTGGTCGGCGTTGGCATCGGCGTCGTCGTCGGCGTCGGCGGCGGCGTCGGCGTTGGCGTCGGCGTCGGCGTCGTCGGCGTCGGCGTGGGCGTCAGCGTCGGCGTCAGCGTCGGCGTCGTCGTTGGCGTCGGCATCGACGACGGCGTCGGCGTCGTCGTCGTCGTCCGCGTCGGCGTCGGCGTTGGCGTCGTCGTCGTCGGCGTCGGCATCTTCGTCGTCGTCGTCGGCGTCGACGGCGTTGGCACCGGCGTCGGCGTCGTCGTCGGCGTTGTCGCCGTCGGCGTCGGCGTCGTCGTCGTCGTTGTCGGCGTCGGCATCTTCGTCGTCGGCGTCAGCGTCGGCATTTTTGTCGTCGTCGTCGTCGGCGTCGGCGTCGGCGTCGGCGTTGGCGTCGGCGTCGGCGTCGTCGGCGTCGGCGTGGGCGTCAGCGTCGGCGTCAGCGTCGGCGTCGTCGTTGGCGTCGGCATCGACGACGGCGTCGGCGTCGTCGTCGTCGTCCGCGTCGGCGTCGGCGTTGGCGTCGTCGTCGTCGGCGTCGGCATCATCGTCGTCGTCGTCGGCAGTCGCGTCGTCGTCGTCGTCGGCGCCGGCGTCGGCGTCGCGTCGGCGTCGGCGGTTTGTCGGCCGTATTCGTCGTCGACGTCGTCGTCGTCGGCCACGTCGGGTCGTCGGCGTCGGCGTCGACGTCGGCGGCAGCGTCGCATCGACGACGGCGTCGCGTCGGCGCGTCCGTCGTCGTTTTGGCGGTCGTCGGCGTCGTCGGCGTCGTCGTCGAATCGCCGGCGGTCGGCCGGCATCGTCGTCCGTCTCGTCGTCGTCGTCGTCGGCGTAGCGTCGTGGCTCGTTCGTCGCGCCGACGTTCGTCGGCGTTCCATCGGATGTCTACGGAGTCGGCGTCGGCGGCGTCGTCGTCCGTCGGCGTCGTCGGCGTCTTTCGTCGTCGGCATCGTCTCGTCGGCGGCGGCGTCGTCGTCCGTGTTCGTCAACGTGCCGTTGTCGGTCGGTCGTCGGCGTCGTCGTCGCGGCGTCGGCGTCGTCGTCGTCGGCGTCGGCGTCTTCAGCGTCGTCGTCGTCGGCGTCGGCGTCGTTGCCGGCGTCGCGTCGTCGGCGTCGGCGTCGGCGTTGGCGTCGGCATCGGCGACGGCCTCGGCATCGGCGTCGGCGTCGTCGTCTGCGTCGTCGGCGTCGTCGGCGCCGTCGGAGTCGTCGTCGGCGTTGGCGGCGTTGGCGGCGTCGTCGTCCGTCGTCGTCGTCGTTGACGTCGGCGTCGGCGTCGGCGTCGATGGCGTCATCGTCGCTGGCGTCGCAGTCGGTGGCTTCGTCGTCGTCGACGTCGGCGGCGTTGGCATCGGCATCGGCGTCGGCGTCGGCGTCGGCACCGTCGTTGTCGTCGTCGTCGTCGGCGTCGGCGTCGTCGTCGTCGGCGTCGGCGTCTTCGTCGTCGTCGTCGGCGTCGGCGTCTTCGTCGTCGTCGTCGGCGTCGGCGTCGGCGTCGGCGTCGGCGTCGGCGTCGGCGTCGGCGACGGCGTCGGCGTCGTCGTCGCGTCGGCAACGACGACGGCGTCGGCGTCGGCACGGCGTCGGCGCGTTGTCGTCGTCGGAGGACGTCGGCGGTTAGTCTTCGTCGTCGGCGTCGTCCGTCGTCGGCGCGTCGTAAACGTCGTCGTCGGTCGTCGTCGTCGGCGCGTCGCCGTTAGTCGTCGCGTCTCCGTCGACGTCGTCGGCGTTGGCATCGGCGGTGTACGGTCGCGGCATCGGCGGCGTCGTCGGTGTCGGCCGCCAAGCGTCCGGCTCCGGCGTCGTCGTCGTCGTTGTCGGCGTCGTCGTGGTCGCGTCGTTGTCGTCGTCGTCGTCGGCGTCAGCGTCGTCGGCGTCGTCGTGGTCGGCATCGGCGTCGTCGTCGTCGGCGTCGTCGTCTTCGGCGGCGGCCGCGTCGGCGGCGTCGTCATCGTCGTCGTCGCCGTCGGCATCGGCGTCGTCGTCGTCGTCGGCGGCGTCGGCGTCGGCGTCGTCGTCGTCGGCGTCGGCGTCGGCGTCGGCGTCGGCGTCGGCGTCGTCGTCGGCGTCGGCGTCGGCGACAGCGTCGTCGTCGGCGTCGGCGGCGGCGTCTGCGTCGGCGTCGGCGTCGTCGTGGTCGTTGTCGTCGTCGTTGTCGTCGGCGTCGTCGTCGTCGTCGGCGTCGGCGTCGTTGTCGTCGTCGTCTTCGGCGTCGTCGGCGGCAGCGGCGTCGGCGGTGTCGTCACCGTCGTCGTCGTCGCCGTCGGCATCGCCGTCGGCGTCGTCGTCGGCGGCGTCGTCGGCGTCGTCGGCAATATTCGTCGTCGTCGTCGGCGTCGACGGCGTGGCACCGGCGGTCGGCGTCGTCACGTCGCGTTGTCGCAGTCGGCGTCGGGTCAGGCGCGTCGTTGTCGGCGTCGGCATCCTTCGTCGTCGGCTCGTCAGCGTCGGCATTTTTGTCGTCGTCGTCGTCGGCTCGGCGTCGGCGCGTCGGGCGTTGGCGTCGGCGTCGGCGTCGTCGGCGTCGGCGTGGGCGTCAGCGTCGGCGTCAGCGTCGGCGTCGTCGTTGGCGTCGGCATCGACGACGGCGTCGGCGTCGTCGTCGTCGTCCGCGTCGGCGTCGGCGTTGGCGTCGTCGTCGTCGGCGTCGGCATCTTCGTCGTCGTCGTCGGCGTCGGCGTCGTCGTCGTCGTCGGCGTCGGCGTCGGCGTCGGCGTCGGCGTCGGCGGTGTCGGCGTCTTCGTCGTCGACGTCGTCGTCGTCGGCGTCGGCGTCGGCGTCGGCGTCGACGTCGGCGTTGGCGTCGGCATCGACGACGGCGTCGGCGTCGGCGCCGTCGTCGTCGTTGGCGTCGTCGGCGTCGTCGGCGTCGTCGTCGGCATCGTCGGCGTCGGCGGCATCGTCGTCCGTCGTCGTCGTCGTCGTCGGCGTAGCCGTCGTTGGCGTCGTCGCCGCCGACGTCGTCGGCGTTGGCATCGGCATCGTCTACGGAGTCGGCGTCGGCGGCGTCGTCGTCGTCGGCGTCGTCGGCGTCGTTGTCGTCGTCGGCATCGTCGTCGTCGGCGGCGGCGTCGTCGTCCGTCGTCGTCAACGTCGCCGTTATCGGCGTCGTCGGCGTCGTCGTCGTCGGCGTCGGCGTCGTCGTCGTCGGCGTCGGCGTCTTCAGCGTCGTCGTCGTCGGCGTCGGCGTCGTTGCCGGCGTCGCGTCGTCGGCGTCGGCGTCGGCGTTGGCGTCGGCATCGGCGACGGCCTCGGCATCGGCGTCGGCGTCGTCGTCTGCGTCGTCGGCGTCGTCGGCGCCGTCGGAGTCGTCGTCGGCGTTGGCGGCGTTGGCGGCGTCGTCGTCCGTCGTCGTCGTCGTTGACGTCGGCGTCGGCGTCGGCGTCGATGGCGTCATCGTCGCTGGCGTCGCAGTCGGTGGCTTCGTCGTCGTCGACGTCGGCGGCGTTGGCATCGGCATCGGCGTCGGCGTCGGCGTCGGCACCGTCGTTGTCGTCGTCGTCGTCGGCGTCGGCGTCGTCGTCGTCGGCGTCGGCCTCCTTAGTAGTCGTCGTCGGCGTCGGGTCTTCGTCTGTCGTCGTCGGCGTCGGCGTCGTCGTCTGCGTCGTCGGCGTCGGCGTCGGCGTCGGCGTCGGCGTCGGCGTCGGCGACGGCGTCGGCGTCGTCGGCGTCGGCGTCGGCGTCGGCGTTGGCGTCGGCATCGACGACGGCGTCGGCGTCGGCGGCGTCTTCGTCCGCGTCGTCGGCGTCGTCGTCGTCGGCGTCGTCGGCGTCGGCGGAGTCGTCGTCCGTCGTCGTCGTCGTCGACGTCGCCGTCGTTGACGTCGTCGTCGTCGACGTCGTCGGCATTGGCATCGGCGTCGGCGTCGTCGTCGGCGTCGTCGTCAGCGTCGTCATCGTTGTCGCCGGCGTCGGCGTCGCCGTCGTTGTCGTCTGTCGTGATCGGCGTCGACGGCGTCGGCGTCGTCGTCGGCGTCGGCGTCTGCGTCGTCGTCGGCGTTGGCGTCGTCGTCGTCGGCGTCGGCGTCGTCTTCGTCGTCGCCGTCGGCGGCGTTGTCGGCGTCTTCGTCGTCGGCGTCGGCGTCGGCATTGGTGTCGTCGTCGGTGTCGGCGTCGGCGTCGGCGTCGGCGTCGGCGGCGTCGGCGTCGGCGTCGGCATCGACGACGGCGTCGGCGTCGGCGGCGTCGTTGTCGTCGGCGTCGTCGGCGTCGGCGGCGTCGTCGTTGTCGTCGGCGTCGGCGTTGGCGACATCGTCGTCCGTCGTCGTCGTCGTCGTCGTCGGCGTCGAGGTCGTTGGCGTCGTCGTCGTCGGTGGCGTCGGCGTCTGCGTCGTCGTCGTCGGCGTCGTCGTGGTCGTCGGAGTCGTCGTTGTCGTTGTCGTCGTCGTCGTCGTCGGCGTCGGCGTCGGCGTCGTCGGCGTCGTCGGCGTCGTCGTCGTCGGCGGCATCGGCATCGTCGTCGTCGGCGTCGAATTCGTCGTCGTCGTCGGCGTCGGCGTCGGCCTCGTCGTCGTCGTCGTCGGCATCGTCGTCGCCGCCGCCGTCGTCGTCGGCGTCGGCACCGTCGTTGTCGTCGTCGTCGGCGTCGGCGTCGTCGTCGTCGTCGGCGCGTCGGCGTCGCGTCGCGTCGTTGGTGTCGGCGTCGACGTCGTCGTCGTTGGCGTCGGCGTCGTCATCGTCGTCGTCGGCGTCGTTGTCGTCGGCGTCGTCGGCGTCGTTGTCGTCGACGTCGTCGTCTGTCGTGGTCGGCGTCGTCGGCGTCGGCGTCATCGTCGGCGTCTGCGTCGTCGTCGTCGGCGTCGGCGTCGGCGTCGGCGTCGGCGTCGTCGTCGGCGTCGGCGTCGGCGTCGTCGTCGGCGTCGTCGGTGTCGTCGTCGGCGGCGGCGGCGTCGGCGTCGTCGTTGGCGCCGGCGCCGGCATCTGCGTCGTCGTTGTCGTCGGCGTCGGTACCATCGTCGACGTCGGCGTCGGCGTCATCGTCGGCATCGTCGGCGTCGTCGTCGGCGCCGGCTTTGGCGTCGGCATCGACGACGGCGTCGGAGTCGGCGTCGGCGTCGGCGTCATCACCGTCGGCGGCGGCGGCGGCATCGTTGTCGTCGTCGTCGTCGTCGTCGTCGCCGGTGGCGTCTGCGGCGTCGGCGTTGTCGTCGCCGTCGGCGTCGGCGGCGTCGTCGTCGTCGTCGGCGTCGTCGGCGGCGGCGTCGCCTTGTCGTGGTCGTCGGCGTCGGCGTCGGCGGCGTCGTCGGCGTCGGCATCGTCGTCGTTGGCGTCGGCGCCGTCGTCGTCGTCGGCGTCGGCTTCGTCGTCGTCGGCGTCGGCGTCAGCGACGGCGTGGGCGTCGGCCTCGTCGTCGTCGTCGTCGGCTATGTCGTCGTCGTCGGCGTCGTCGGCGTCGGCGTCGTCGTCGTCGGCGGCGTCGGCGTTGGCCTCGTCTTCGTCGTCGTCGTCGGCGGCGTCGTCGTCGTCGGCGTCGTCGGCGGCGTTGTCGCCTTGTCGTCGTCGTCGGCGTCAGCGTCGGCGTCGGCGCCGGCGTCGGCGTCGGCGTCGTCGGCGTCATCGGCGTCGGCAGCGTCATCGTCGGCGTCGGCGTCGTCGTCGGCGTCGGCGTCGTCGTCGTCGTCGCCGTCGGCGTCGGCGTCGGTGTCGGCGCCGTCTGCGTCGGCGTCGCGTCGTCGGCGTCGTCGGCATCGTCGGCGTCGTCGTCGGCGGAGTCGGTGTTGGCGTCGTCGTCGTCGTCGTTGGCGTCGGCGTCGGCGTCGTCGTCGTCGTCGGCGGCGTTGGCATCGGCGTCGTTGTCGGCGTCGTCGTCGTCGTCGGCGTCGTCGTCGGCGTCGGCGCGGGCGGCGGCGTCGCCGTCGGCGTCCCCGTTGTCGTCGTCGTCGTGGTCGACGTCAGCGTCACTGTCGTCGACCCGGAGGTTGTGAATCTTCTCTGCGTCGCCTCCAGGGCGTCGTCGTCGGCGTCGGCGTCGGCGTCGGCGTCGTCGGCGTCGGCGTCGTCGGCGGCGTCGCCGTCGGCGGCGTCGGCGTCGTCGGCGTCGGCGTCGGCGTCAGCGTCGGCGTCGGCGTCGGCGTCGGCGTCGGCGTCGGCGCCGGCGTCGGCGTCGTCGTCGTCGTCTTCGTCGTCGTGGTCGTCGTCGTCGTCGTTGTCGCTGGCGACCCGAAGGTTGTGAATCTTTTCTGCTTCGCCTCCAGGGCGTCCGCCATGCGCTGCTCTTCCTTCGCCTCCGCCAAGGCCTCCGTCCATCCCTGCATCGCCATCTGCAGCAGCGCAGAGTCGGTGCCCCCCATCGATGCCATGAGGACCTCGCCCGCGCGGCTGACAGGAGAGAGATCGGCGCTCGGGCATCCTACCCTGGCATTGGCACCGCCGCCAATGTTCCCTCCCGTCTGCTCAGGAAGGGGAGGAGGAGAGGACAGGAGAAAACGGATGACGAGACAGAAGAGGAGCACACGCAGCAGGGGCAGGAGGATGGCAAGGAGGCAGACAAGGCGAGTGAGAAGACGGAGGAGGAAGAGGACGACGACGACGACGACGACGACGACGACGACGACGACGGCGGCGAGGGCGATCCCAAAAGGTGCAGCCCGACGCTTGGACGACGCGACGGGGCAAGGCCACTCTCGCGAAGAAGGCCTCTGGACACATCTCGGCGAACTCTCTCCAGGAAGGCTGCATGCACAACTGGACATGAGCGCGAGGAACTGCCCCGCCCTTGCAAACGCACACGCACGCACACGCACCGATATAGATACATCTGCACATGTATATACATCTATGTATAGGTGTGTGGGCGGGTGGGCACCCCCGCACCCCTGAAAATAACGCATCCCTAGTTGGTTTGCTCTATCTTTCTCTCTCACTCCCTCTCTCTCTCTCTAGTTATGTCTCTCTCTCTTTCTCTCTGTCTCTCGTTTTCTCTTGTTATTTCCCTTTCTCTAGACAGGAAGCCTGACTGAGAAATCTTTTTTAAGGAATCCTTGACCATAAATCCTCTCTCTCTCTCTCTCCCTCTCGTGTTCATGATCTCTCTCCTCTCTCTCCCTGGAAAGCAAGAGCATACGCCGAACACACTCATCGCTTCCCTCTCGTGTCAAGAGCGGGCCACCTTTCTGGCGCTGTCGCTCTTGCTCTTCAAGAACTCAGCGATAGCCTGCTCCTTCTTCTTTATCTCGTCCTCCATTGCTTTGTCCTGCAGGGAAGCACGAAGGCATCGGTGAAGAACAGAGGGCGGACAGAGAGCAAACCTCACGGCGGGCCAGAAGCATCTGGATAACTGCGGACGCCTGGGCCAGAATTCGGCTTGGAACTTTTGTACAGAGTGTCGCAGCGGCGGCCACGGCGACGCGCTATGCCCTGCGAACGGATAGCGTGTGGCTCCGCCCCACGGGGCGGAAAGGCTAGGGAAAGCTCGGGATTTTGACGCCCTAAGCCAACTAAGACAAAGACCATGGCCGTGTGCAAAAAACAATGATTCACCATGCGGCTATTGTTTCTAAGTTTTTGGCGCTGGCGCCTCTTCTGATTCCCAAACCCCCACGACGGCCCAACAGGCCTCCAATATGGCCCCAAGTCGGCTCCGCGAGGTCCTCAAGAGGGCCCCAAGACGGCGCAAGAGGGCTCCAAAGGCCTCACTGTCTCCCAGGAGCTGCAAGCTGCCACGGCACTCAACCCACCTGCGCAGAGGCTCTCGAATGGAAATTCAAGGCCAACAAGGATCCCACGAGACCACTTGAGGCGGCCACAGCGCTGCCAGGCGAGACGAGGATCGGCAAACGCAGCCGTCCATTAGAACATCGAGGCATGCAGCGAGAATCCTGGCCTGGGGCTCGGCCGAAAGAGGCACACCCTTTTTGAGCGTCGACGACTGGGCACAGCCTCAGGTCGTTCGGAGGTAACCGCGGGCGGGCGCGCGCCGGTAATGAAAGAAAGAAGACACACACACACACACACACGCACACACACACACACACACACCCGCGCGCGCGCAATGCAGCAGGCCAAAAATCCAGCCAAACGGAACACGCCACGGGGCCAGCACAACAAGGGCAGGGGGGCCAAGCAAAGCGACGAGGGAAGCGACGAGCAAGGCACACACACACACACACACCAGAGGAGCAGCGCGTCGCGCAAGGTGCTTGCCCCGCCCTCGCCCTTCCTGCCCGCTGCAGGGTCTCCTCTTCCGCACCCCCGCCTTCCCACAACGAGGGTCGGATGCAGTCCGAGTTTCGCCAACAATTAGGAGCGTTGGGTAATGAGCACAGCCTCTCTGGGGCCTCAGCTGTGCCTAGGTACACGAAGAGCGCAAGATGAAAACCAATGGAAGGACCCAAGGAACACCGAGCCCCTCCGGAACCGAAAGTGAGCCTTCTCCCAAAGTTTCTACTGTGGGGGTGCAATTTCTCGGCACCTCTGCGCCCTGCCCCATCGGCAAGGCGGAACGGGCGCCACATGCGCGCTGCTGGATGCCCCGCTTTTCCGTAAAGCTCTCAAAAGCGGCAGCGGCCGACAGAGGGGAGCTGAATTTTTCGCCGTGGTGCGGGAGGCCTCAGAGGAACAGGCAGAAGGGAGAGAGGACGTGGAGGAGGAGGGAGGGGAAGACAGGAGCGCGGGGAGGAGGGAAAAGGAGGAGAGGCAGAGGAGGAGGATGTGGAGGAGCTGGTGGAGGAGGATCCCCCAGAGCCCCCATAGGGCCAGTCCCCCACCCCCCATCCCGCCCTGCCCTGCCCCAAACAAGTGGAAAAAGGTCCGCGCAAGTGAGCCTTGCTTTGACCTTTGGGTGCGCGGCCTTTGATGCAGCAAGCGCTAGCGAGTGGCCTCTGGGTGCGCGGGCTTCGGGCTCGGAGCTCTGCGCGCCTTCCCCTCCCTTGCCCTCCTCCCCCGATGGTCCCGATCGGGCACCAGTTTGGCCAGACTCCTCCCCTCCGCCGCCCCCATCCGAGGGCAGCGTCCTTCTGGTACTCCTGGTGGAAGACGACCCAGGCAGAGAACATCATGTGGGCGAGGCCCCCCTCGGAGTCGGCGTTCATGCGGGCCAGGACCGCCCTCGCGCGGCGCCGCGGCGCTTCATCCAAGGTTGCATCGTCGGTTTGGTCGTCGTCGTCGTCTCTGTCGTCGTCTCCATCGTCATCGTCGCTATCACTGGGAAGAGGTGGAGGCGCAAAGGGGGGAGGAGGGGGGAAAGGGAAGAGGGGCGGGAGGAGGGAGTGGCAGGATCATCCGCGGAATATCCTCAGTCACAATGTGGCAGAGGGGGGAGGGGAGGAGGAGGAGGAGGAGGAATAGAAGCAGGAGGACAATGAATGGCAAGAGGGAGGAGGAAAGGGAGAAGGATGAGGCAAGTGGGGGGTGGTCCCCTTCACCCCCGCAACTGCAGCGTACACGGAACGGTTAGCACCACGATGTGAGACGGAAGGCCTTCGGGCAAGCCGGGAACATGACGTCGCCACCAGCGAACACGCCACTGAAGGGTGGAGGGAGCGAGAAAGAGAGAAAGCGAGAGAGAGAGAGAGCGAGAAGAGAGAGAGAGAGAGAGAGAGAGAGAGAAAACAGCAGCAGCAGCAGCAGCAGCAGCAACAGCAGCAACAGCAGCAACAACAACAACAACAACAAGTACTAGCACGTGGGGACACTCCGTTCTCACCAGTGCCAGGGTTTTCATAGGAGGCGGGCAATACCCCCACTTTGTGGGGGGGCCGGTTCAAGCTCTACCAAATTTCCAAACGACTCTTCGCCACCACCCACACCCAGCTTCCCGCCCTATGACGTTCGGACACTTCACTTCGTGGCATGCGGACGACCGTGGCTACTATTCAGGGCCCCGCGGCCGACGACGACGGCGTGCGCGCGCGAAGAAAAAACGAATGTGTCCCGCATGGTATTATTTGACAGGGATGATGGCCCTGGCAGGTGCGCAACCGTTGTTGCAGAAGTTCGAAAAAATTGCTCGCAAAAGCCCGTTTGACAGAAATGTTTAAAAAGTGTTGGGTTTCCTACGAATCCGCAAGAGCGCGCGGGATGAAATTTTGACATTTAACAAAAAAAAAAAATGGTGTTTTGATGTTTTTATGTTAAAGTCGCTACGAAAACTAAGGTTTTGGAAGGATTTCGTCTTGCGCGCGCGAATGTCCACTTTACCTTATTTTTTGCAAGGGATTCTTGAAGTTTGGTTATGTTAGAACAAGAAATGTCATTTTATATTGTTTTTTGCAAGGGAAAGCGGGGGGGAACAAAACAACCGGATCTGGATCACATCGTTTTGTCAAGGGCTTTCGCTCGAAAATGATGAAAATGTGGCTGCGGCCTAGGCGCGGCGGGGGGGCCGTGCACCAGGGGTCCCAACAATAATTATTCTTTAGAAGTAATAATGTTCAACAACAACAACAACAACAACAACAACAACAACAACAACGACAACGACAACAACAACAACAACAACAACAACAACAACAACAACAACAACAACAACAACGACAACAACAACAACGACAACGACAACGACAACGACAACGACAAACAACAACACAACCACAACCACAACCACAACCACAACCGCAACCACAACCACAACCACAACCACAACAACAACAACAACAACAACAACAACAACAACAACAACAACAACCACAACCACAACCACAACCACCACCACAACCACAACAACAACAACAACAACAGCAACAACAACAACAACAACAACAACAACACCAACAACAACAACAACAAAAACAAAAACAACAACAAAAACGAAAACAAACATTGGACAGGGACACGGGGAAGCACAACGTCGGGACTGCTGCCGCGCCGGTGCGCGCGCAGAACGCCGGCCCCGCCGCCCGGGCACGCGGCTTGCCGAAGCGCAGAGAGGCCCAGCAGCAGCACGGCGGTCCCCTCGGAGCGGACCTCCTCTCTCAGAGCGGAGGACCCCATCTCTGGCGCCGCGCCGCGCACAGAGGAGGAGGAGGGGGAGGAGGAGGAGGAGGAGGAGGAGGAGGAGGAGGAGGAGGAGGAGGAGGAGGAGGAGGAGGAGGAGGAGGAGAATGAGGAGGAGGAGGAGGAGGAGGAGAATGAGGAGGAGGAGAAGGAGGAGGAGGAGAATGAGGAGGAGGAGGAGAAGGAGGAGGAGGAGAAGGAGGGGCTGCTTCTCACAAGGCGCGGGCCTTGCATCTACAGGCAAAAGGCCCGCGCCCTCTGAGAAGAAGGGGGGCTTCTGAGAAGCCTTCCCCCCTCCCCCATACCTCCCTCTGCGCGTGGCGGACATCTCTAGAAACCTGCACCGAGCCTGGGCCTGGGGCCGACCCGGCCAGGATCGGTGCAAGGGGGAAGAGGTGGTGCCCTCCAGAGAGAGGCGGCGTCGAGACAGGAGCTTCGAGGGGCACGGTGGGAAGAGGAGGAGGCGGGAAAAAACGATGGAGGAGAGAAAGGCAGAAGCCAGATCACAGCGTGGCCACACACACATAGAAATCGCAAAGAGATTCCAATACGTGAGATAGAAAGAGAAATCAGAAAACTACTAGGGAGAGAGGGCTACATACATAAGAAACAATTAAGGGGGGAAAGAGAGGGAGAGAGAACCAGTAATAGAAATGAAGGGAGCGAGAACGAGAGAGAAAGAGACAGAGAGAGAGAGAGAAAGAGAGAAAGAGCTAGAGCGAGAGAAAAAACAATGAGAGCCTACGTATTCAAAGGTCGTTGGCTAAAGTATCTGGTCAGCGGGTCAGCGGGATCCTGACTGGCTGGAAACGGAGCAGAGAGACGAGCGGCTGAGAAGGCGTCAGGGCAGCAGAGAAAGATGGAATGAGATAGAGAGAGAGAGAGAGACAAAGACAGAGAAGACGAGAGAGTGAGAGAGAAGGAGACAGAGACCGAGACAGAGAAAGAGAAAGGAAAGAGGTTGCTGTGAGACTCAACGGGGAGACGAGCTTGCCAGCAAGGAGACGTGGCGGCCAATTGCGAGGACAGGAGCCTTGCCTTGACTTCCTCTTCTGCATCGCTTTGGTATTCGATAACTTGTCATTCAGCATCTCCATTTGTGACTGCAGCTCTTTGTCTCTTTTCCACTCCATGACCTCCCAGCCCGCCTGTTCTTGTATGGGAAGACGGAAGGCACAAGAGCGCGGTGCACAGGGAGCGCTTCCCTCTGCACGGAGAAGCCCCCACACCACTGCAGCCGGAGAGGGCAGAACGCAGAGGCCTACACGAGGCAGGACACGATGGCGTCCGACAAGCGCGCAGCTCAGAGCCGTGGGCGACTGGGGGGGCTCAGAGCCATGGGCGACAACAGACACGATTTACAGAACACACAAGCTGTCGGAGCTCCACGCAAACTTTTCGGATCGGCAGTGGGGCCCCTCCCTGGCTTTGGACGCCCGGAATGGGTACGGAAAAAATGGGCACAGTGCCCAACAACAAGTGTTGTCCCAAATCAACAGCGGCCGCTGTTGGACAGGCATCCTTCTGCCTCGAATTGACACAGGCCGCGGCGGCGTGGACAGCGAGTCCGGTTCAAGATTGACAAGAACTGCTGCTGGGCACTGTACCCATGCGTCCCGTGCCCATTTCGTTCGTGCCGACTCGGAGCACGCCATGGGGCGGCGCCAGAGGTCCCGCCCGAGGGGGGGGGCCCGGCGCCGACCCCGAGAAGCCCGCGCGGACTTCCCCGAAAGTTTGGCGTGCTCGGGCCGCTCTCTGCTCCTCGAGCACCGCCAGGATCCCAGGCGCCCCAGGTCGGGGGCCCACAAGCGGGGCGGTGACCACACCGCGTGGTGAGTCGGCGGGGATTCGGGGTCACCGCACGGTTTTGTGACTCGGGTCGTTCTCGGAGGACGTCTCGGGCGACTGGGGCATCCGAGTTCCCAAAAGCGTGCGTTGACGGACCGTGCGGTGAGGTCTTAGGGGATTTCGAGGTCACCGCACGGTCTGTCAACGCACCGTTTCGGGACTCCAAACCAGGGTTGAGCAGGGGCCGTCCGTCCCGGCATTCCTGCAGGCCTACCACGAATTTGTCCAAGAGCGAATCAACATCCTCGCAGAACGAGAGCACCACTCTCAGAAGAGGAAGCCGACAGGATGAAGCGAGACGGTCTCGGCCAGCGATGGTCTGAGAACGTTCCGCGCAAACCGCAAAAAAGGGGAGAAGGAGGAGGGGGAGGAGGAGGAGGAGGAGGAGGAGGGGGAGGAGGGGGGAGGAGGAGGAGGAGGAGGAGGAGGAGGAGGAGGAGGAGGAGGAGGAGGAGGAGGAGGAGGAGGAGGAGGAGGAGGAGGGCCCCCTGTCCGAGCCGGGACGCTCCGCCACTGCCGGACAGGGGGTCCACGAGAGCCCTCGACGCGAACACGACCCGTCGCCGCCCTTGGGCTCCCCCTGGCCGGCCTCGCTCCGGGGCGGGGCACCGCGAGGGCCAGAAGGTCTCCCCTCCCCCGAAAAGGCTCGGGCGCGGACGGGAAGCCCGGCGCAGCGCGGGCCCGGCTCGGCCGATCTGGAAAAAAATGCGCTGCAGCGGAGCATCGTTCGGCCGACTCCTATCCCCACTGGCGTGGCCCTGGCCCCACTGGCCAATTTTTACCTCCCTGGGGATGCCATAAGCTGTTCCCTCCGGGCTTCGAGGGGTATATCCCCTAATTGGGGTGCTGAGATTGTCGGGCTCGGGATGGGGATGGGGATGGGGGTCGGTTAAACAGTACAGCCAACCCGTATCGTAAGGATGCGCGGTAAAGATGCAAGGGCCTTGGAGGCCCATGTGAACGTATTTCGAACGACACCCGCGAAAGTCGCTAAGGATGGGCCGCAGGGGCAAGGATGCAAGGGTACCCTTGGGAAGGTTGCCCATCCTCATTATGCGAGCTGACTGTGCTGAGCAGGGGGCTTCCCGAACAGGGCTCAGCCAACACAGAAGGCCCCCTGCTGGGCCGCGAGCGGGTCCCAAACCGGGCTCCGCCAAAATCTGGCGTCGCGAGATCTTGCAGGATCCGGCGCTCTGGCTGAGTCCTGCTTGCGCTAAACCCCGTTGCCTGACCATAGAGCAGTGATCCCCCTGGGCTGGTGCCGCACACGGCACAAAGAGAGAAGGACAGCGACCCCGACCGAACGCAGGCACGACGCTGTGCAGCCAATCGGTTGAGCATACGCTCGCAGTTTGCTTCGGCAGAACGAGAAGGTGTGAGGATGATGCAATCCCATCTCCTCCTCCTCCTCCTCCTCCTCCTCCTCCTCCAATCCTCCTCCAATCCTCCTCCTCCTCCTCCTCCTCCTCCTCCTCCTCCTCCTCCTCCTCCTCCTCCTCCTCCTCCTCCTCCTCGGGGGCCTCCCTGGAAATCCTGGGGACACCCTGGGCAAGGGCCACCTGTGGCAGCGTCAGAACTTCTCTCGAGTGCGCTGCTCCCGTGGCCGCTCCAGCCGCTTCGTCCCTGGACGGCCGCCGCTGACCGACGCGAGGTGCGGGGGCAGCGCAGCGAGGGGATGCTGCGGATGGGGTGAGCGCGCGGGGGCTCTCGCTCGGAAGGTCTCGTGCGCCTTCGCCTCGTCATCACAGTCCTCCTCCTTCCTGGGAGCCAGGCCTGGGCAGCTCAAACCCTGTCGCCGGCACTGCACGAATAGGGGGCCACATGCGAACCCCTACCCCTACCCCCCGCGATTTCTGAGGGGGAGGGTGGGGTTCACTTCGTTCGGGAGCTCCCGAGCGAAGTGAACCCCACCCTCCCCCTCAGAAATCATGGGGGGTAGGGGTAGGGTTCGCATGTGGCCCCCTACAAAAGATCCCCCATCTACAGCTGGGTGCCGTCAGTGATGCTTCCAACTTGTCTGACTGGCACGCACGCTTATCGTCGAAAACTACTCCCACAATCCCTCCCCCACTCGTATCAGATCCCTCTCGGGCTAACTATGCCTTTTCACCCATCTCTCCAAGCCCGATCCCCTCCTCTGTCGCCCAGATCGTAAAAGTTTCCTTCATTAATGTGGAAGTCATGTCTGCGGCCTTGGCCGCCAGCATCTTCCTGACTCCCTGCGGACCAGCGCCAAGGGGGCGTGCTTTAAGCAGGAAGCGCCAACCGAGGAGCTGAAGGTGAGGACTGAGAAGGCAGCTGAGCAGGTGAAGAGTGCGGAGGAGATGCAAAGGGCCTTGTGTGGCTACCGCCAAGCGCGCGAGCAGCAGCGAACCATGCGTATAAATGAGCACACGAAACAGAGCCAACGAAAACAATAATATCCAAAATAACGTGTGGTCGAAGGAATCCGAAGGGCAAGCGCAGAGTAGTTTTTGGGCAGGGTGAATACGATTCAAGGCGATGTCATCGCAAGCAGAGAAGCAGTACGCCTGTTGACCAGCAAGCAGGTTGTAAGGTTTCCATGTAGAGAAAGACAGACACCAAGCGGGACCGACATTCCATAGGGAAACAGAACCAGAAACAAGCACACATGCACATACACACAGACACACACACACTGCTTAGCGTCAGCGGCCTGTTGAGTAGCCAACCAAACGGTCACGTCAGGTTGCAGGCAGTGACCTACGCAAGCGACGTTCGAGAAACACACACACGCACACTTCCCTCCGCTGGCCAGGAAACGTCACCGTCGCGAGTGATAGCACAGGGCGCAAGCGATCGTGAATTTCACCAAGCGTTGCGAGTGGGTGGTTGCGCGAAGCGAGCGAGCGTGCAGGGACAACGCCCAACTTAGTGAGCGCACAGCGAAGCCAACGCGTGCTGACATGCACGGGTGCTTAGACCCGGGAGCCAAAGGAGAGGCCAAGCGAGAGCGGTATAAAAAACAGAGCGGACCGCGACGAGAGGGACGGACCGTGAGGAGAGTGCGCCCTGGCTGGGCAGGAGCCGTACGACCTGGAGCCCAATGAGGCACGAGAGGAGGCTCCCGTGCGGCGGCCAGCCAAAACACACACACACACACACACACACACACACACACTTTCGGCTACACGCAAGAGTGACCCTGGGTAAGAGTGACCTTTGGTGCGCGGCTTTCTGGGGGCCGCGGGGAGACCAAACCTGGGCGCGCAAGCCGCTGCTACCGCTTCGTTTTCAGCCATCCGAGGGCCCATCTGTGCCCGCGCCGAAGGTCACTCCGGCGAAAGGTCACTCTTACGTCTAACCGACACTTGCTCGAAGGCGGGGCGCGAGGCGGCCCTGGCGAACAAATCACCCGCACGCGCGCGAAGACCGACGGGAGAGCCGGGAGGCACCGCGGCAGCGCCGCCGCGCGTCGCGCACACAGAGGCGAGCGGCCGCAGGGCCCCTGTGCCTGTGTTCCTCCTCCTCCTCCTCCTCCTCCTCCCTGCCTCCGTCCTCCTCCTCCTCTCTCCCCCTCCTCCTCCTCCTCCTCCTCCTCCTCTCCTCCTTCCCCTCCTCCTCTCCCCCCTACTCCTCCTCCTCCACCTCTCCTCCTCCCTCCTCCTCATCCCCTCCTCCTCCTCCTCTCCTCCTCCTATTCCTCCTCCTCCTCTTCTCCTCCTCCTCCTCCTCCATCCTCCTCCTCCTCCTCTCCTCCTCCTCCTCCTCCTCCTCCTCCTCCTCCTCCTCCTCGGGGGAACGTTGGGGGGGACTGGCTGAGAGGTGGGGGGGGACCTCGACCTGGAGTCGGTGATACATCGCCAGCAGATCGGAGACAGGCCCCAGACAGCGAATCCGCGCGCTCCCAGGCTGGGCGGGCCATCCTGCCCCTGTGGGCGATGAGTGGGCGATTGGGGCTCGAATCATCCCCCCCGACCCTATCCTCCCCTAACCCCTCACGGGCCCCTGATCTGCGGTCGGGAACTGCTGCTTGGCGTGCCGCGGCGGCGGCCCCAGCGACACGCTGTGCCTTGCGAGCGGACAGCGTGCCACTCCGCTCCGCGGGGCGGCAAGCTCGGAAAAGCTCGGGACGCTGGCGCTCGGGAACAGCAACGTGGATGGCGTGCCGCGCCGAAGCGTGGTGTGCCACAACCGGCGGCGCGACACGCTGTCCAAAAGTTCCCGGCCGCATGCCTGTGGTGGTCCGGCTTAACCAGAGGGGCACCCAGAGCCGCCAGCGCGCAAAGTGCGAGCACGGGACGGCCGTCCACCGCCGTCGCGTCACAGAGACCGCTGAGCGGGGGAAGCAGCTGAGAGAGACCTCGCAACAGCGCACGCTTTTCCAGCGGTGCGCCCAGAAGAAAGGCAGAGGGGGCGGGGCTTCTCAGAAGGCTCAGAATGAGTCCGCCCGGCCTTCTGTGGAGCTTTCCAAGCCCTCTCCGAAGCCATGGAGAGCTTCACTGAAAGCCAAACGGCGTCTCAAAAGCCCCGGCGCCTTCTGAGGAGATCTGCCACTTCTCGCATCCCCTCTCGGCGCGCCACCGACTCACTACAACACACTCTCTTCCCTCCGGCTCCACGATTGGCCGCAGTCGCGGGTCAAGCTGTCACGGCCTTATCTGACTGCACGTCGAAAGAAAATCGCCCTGTGTGACAGCGTGCATGCACCATACCGGTGATTCACGGTTGGAGGCAGGCTGGGCAGGGTAAATGCAAGTAAATGTGCGCAGGAAGCAAGCGAGGAAAACCACCAACCGAATGAGGGACGACACGCACACACACACACACACACACACACACGCGGGCACTTTCCCATCGCTGACGCCAATGATTACCTCGTAGGCCACCCTTCGGGTGATAAAGATATTGTGGGGGGTACTTGCATGTCGACTTGAGTTTCAACACTCATGTCGATGTGCGTTTCGAGTTGCAGTTCAATTTGACTCCGATGTTCGTTACAATCCTACCCACCAGCCCTGTGGCATTCTGGGTGTAGGTGATCGAACGAGTTCGTGACTTCCTCTTCCAGAACACTCATCCCCTTCGGGGAGGGGTCTAGTAATATACACCCTATCCCCAACCCGACTGGCGACGAACCCGGGCCAATGACAACCCCCCCACCATCCCTTGCAACAAAAAAAAATTAGCCGGCCCAGCGGGCCAGAGGCGTGCTAAGATCTCCTGTAACTGGTAAACAGTATTTCTGGTTCGCGCGCGCGGGGCGGCCCCTGGGGGTCCCTGGATCAAAAGTACCCCGGGCGGAGCCCGGGCGGAGCCCGGGACACTCCCCCAGATCCTCCAGGATCGCCCCAAGAGGCCCCCAACACAATCCAAGCGAGGTCCGACACGCCCGAAGATCGCTTCACGGCGCCCAAGATGGCCTCCAGACGGCCCAAGAGGTCTCCAAGATGACCCAACAAGCCTCCAAGATGCCCCAAGAGGCCTCCAGGAGCACTCCCAAGAGGGCCCCAAGAGGCACAAATCAATGCTTTCTCTTAGGTTTTGGACAGAGTTGGGCGTTTCAACCTTTTCGGTTCCCCGACGCTCCTAAACGGCTCAAGAGGCCTCCAAGATCGCCCCAAGAGGGCCCAAGAGGCCCTCAAAAGGGCCCCAAGACGGCCCAAGACGGCTCCAAGACGGCCCCAGAGGCCTCCAAGACGGCCCAAGAGAGCCCCAAGAACGCCCCCAGCACGGTCCAAGAGAGGTCCGAGACGCCCGAAGATCGCTCCACGACGCCCAAGATTCCCTCCGGACGGCCCACGACGTCTCCAAGATGGCCCAAGAAGCCTCCAAGATGCCCCAAGAGGCCTCCAAGAGAACTCCCACGAGGGCCCCGAGAGGCAAAAAACTGTGTTTTTTCCTTTGGTTTTGGACAGATTTGGGCGTTTCAACCTTTTCAATTCCCCGATGCCCCTAAACGGCTCAAGAGGCCTCCAAGATCGCCCCACGAGGGCCCAAGAGGCCCCCAAGAGGGCCCCGAGACGGCCCGAGACGGCTCCAAGACGGCCCCAGAGGCCTCCAGGACGGCCCAAGAGGGCCCCAAGAACGCCCCCAACACAATCCAAGAGAGGTCCGAGACGCCCGAAGATCGCTTCACGGCGCCCAAGATGGCCTCCAGACGGCCCAAGAGGTCCCCAAGATGACCCAACAAGCCTCCAAGATGCCCCAAGAGGCCTCCAGGAGCACTCCCAAGAGGGCCCCAAGAGGCACAAATTAATGTTTTTTTCTTAGGTTTTGGACAGAGTTGGGCGTTTCAACCTTTTCGGTTCCCCGACGCTCCTAAACGGCTCAAGAGGCCTCCAAGATCGCCCCAAGAGGGCCCAAGAGGCCCTCAAAAGGGCCCCAAGACGGCCCAAGACGGCTCCAAGACGGCCCCAGAGGCCTCCAAGACGGCCCAAGAGGGCCCCAAGAACGCCCCCAGCACGGTCCAAGAGAGGTCCGAGACGCCCGAAGATCGCTCCACGACGCCCAAGATGCCCTCCGGACGGCCCACGACGTCTTCAAGATGGCCCAAGAAGCCTCCAAGATGCCCCAAGAGGCCTCCAAGAGAACTCCCACGAGGGCCCCGAGAGGCAAAAAACTGTGTTTTTCCTTTGGTTTTGGACAGATTTGGGCGTTTCAACCTTTTCAGTTCCCCAATGCCCCTAAACGGCTCAAGAGGCCTCCAAGATCGCCCCACGAGGGCCCAAGAGGCCCCCAAGAGGGCCCCGAGACGGCCCAAGACAGCTCCAAGACGGCCCCAGAGGCCTCCAGGACGGCCCAAGAGGGCCCCAAGAACGCCCCCAACACGGTCCCAGAGAGGTCCGAGACGCCCGAATATCGCTCCACGGCGCCCAAGATGGCCTCCAGACGGCCCAAGAGGTCTCCAAGATGACCCAAGAAGCCTGCCTCCAAGATCCCCAGGAGGTCTCCAAGTGCATTCCGAAGAGGGCCCCGAGAGGCAAAAAACTGTGCTGTTCTTGTGGTTTTGGACAGATTTGGGCGTTTCAACCTTTTCGGTTCCCCGACGCCCCTAAACGGCTCAAGAGGCCTCCAAGATCGCCCCAAGAGGGCCCAAGAGGCCCCCAAGAGGGCTCCAAGATGGCCCAAGACGGCTCCAAGACGGGCCCAAGAGGCCTCCAAGACGGCCCAAGAGGGCCCCAAGAACGCTTCAAGAACGCCCCAAGAGGGGGTTCACGAAACAGAATTTCGAGCTCTCGGCCCTTAGAGGCCCCCGGGAGGCCCCAAGACGCCCTCAAAGGCCCCAAGAGGCCCCCAAGAGGCCCTCAAGAGGCCTCAAGAGGCCTCCAGAAGGCCCTCTGGAGGCCTCCAAAAAACCCTCAGGAGGCCCCCAGGACGCCACCAAGACTCCAGCCAGACGCGACTTGGGAAACGCGGGTCGGGGTGGTCCTCCTCCCCCGCGTTCGGCCTCCAGCCTCGAGCCTCGACCCTCCACGACGACGACGACGACGCCGGCGGGCGGCGGCGGCGGGCGGCGGCGGCGGCGGCGACGACGACGACGACAAAGGCGCTCCTCATCGCTCCTCATCCCCCTCCTCCTTCCTCCTCCCCCTCCTCCTCCTCTTCCTCCTCCTCCTCCTCGTCGTCCTCCTCCTCCGGTCCAATTAGAAAAGAGATGGTAAGAGAAACGCCACAAGAAAGTGTTCCTTCACGCCCGTGTCCGCAACGCCAGAGGACATCAGGACGATAACAGAGCCAATGTTAGCATTCAAAGCCCGCCACCCTCTGACACGAGGATTCCCCTATCGCATAAGATGTCTCTTCCCCCGGCTCGAACGGCCCCACAGCGGGATACCACGGGTAACACGCCCCCACGATGGCACCAAAGCCGTCAAAGAACTGCAAACACCTAGAAGCCCCATGAAAAAACATTAACAAATTTATCGACAACTACACAGCTCCCGACGCCGCAGCTCCACACTGCAAACGACCACTCGGACCGGCGACCACGGTGCGACATTATGGGCCGGCGGAATGAGCGAAGCGATTAAATACACGTCGCACAAAAATCTGATCATGCGCGGGCGCCCCGAAATCTCTTTGCATTGGTGTTTGACAGGTGCGGCAGGGGTGCCAGCATGTTGCCTGCTGCATGCGATGCCAGCACTCCCCACCACCCCTTGCAAAACACAATACAAAGTACACGTTGCACCAAATCTGGATCATGCGCGGGCGCCCCGCAATCACTTTGCATTGGTTGTTGACAAAGACCGCGGGCGTGCCAACATATTGCCTGCTGAGTGCAATGCCAACCCACCCAGCATCCCTTGCAAAAGACCATCCACAGTGCGCGCTGCACCAAATGAATCATTCGCGGGCGCCCCGCAATCACTTTGCATTGGTCTTTGATGACAGGGACGGCGGGAGGGCTGGCATACTGTCTGGTGCACAAAGGCCCACCATCCCTTTCAACAAGAAAAATCGTCCCCGTGCCCTTGAGGCACGAGTTGGAGTGTCCTCAGGCCCCAAGTTCGATCCTCTGGAGCCCCAGTCCTCAATCCTGAAGGTTATTTCAAGGGCCCGGACCCGAAATTGCCAAATCTCTCGGGTCTTGCCGAATGCTGTCGCATAACTTTCTCGGGGTCAAGAGGGGCCCAAGACGGGACAAGAGACCCCCAAGAGCTCGCCCAGACGGCCCAAGGGTGCCCCAAATCGCTACACGATCGGTGCAAGACGCTCCAGGTGGCTCCAAGATGACACAAGAAATCCTCGGGACGCTCCAACCAAGCCGCAAGAACCTACCCGAGAGCCGCGATTGTCGGCACGTTCAGTGCAGTTCAGTTCAGCCTGCGAGCGTTAGCACGAGAAGCAGGAAACGGCCGAGCACCTCCATACTTCTCGTTTTGTAGTCGAGGAGCTTGGCGTTCACGATCTCGATCCTGTCCTGGTCCGGCGCACCGCCATGAGAAGGCAGCGAGAAGGAACGCTGATCCGGCCTGGGGTCCAAGACAGGCCAACGACATCGGCACGAGAATTTGTAGCGCGATGAGCGCTGCAGTGGCAATACACACATGCACGGCGACGGCAGCAAGGGAGACCTGTTGAGCTTACGACTGACTGGGGCTTCTGACAGGGCATGCGAACCTGTAGGAGCAGCATCTGCGAGGCAACAGCGGCAACAAAACGAGCCTCTACGATAGCGAATTTGCGCAGGCAGCCCGCAGCGCGCAGCACGGCGCCCATCTGAGTCTGCCCACAGTCCCTCCTCCGATCCCTCCTCCTGTCCACGTCTTTCGCCCCCGCCCGCAGGGGGGAGACCCCAGCCACCCACACTCCCTGCTCCCGCCGGACCGACCTAAAACGTCTAAACATCTGGCGTGCTTCGTGCAGCCTCCAATCGTGCAGTGTCCATCCTTGCTGACTCACAGACTGGTTCATGAAGACGCCTCCTCCTCCTCCTCCTCCTCCTCCTGCTCATCATCCTCCTCCTCCTCCTCCTAATCCTTACTCCTATATAATCATCCTCCTAATAATAACTGGCTCATCATCATCATCCTACTCATACTCATATAACTATCCTACTATCCTCCTCCCTTCTCCTCCTCTCCTCCCTCCTCCTCCTCCTCACATCCTAGCATTGCATCCGTCTGACTTGACCGCTCTGAGTAACCACCTCCCCCCCCCCCCTGCTGCGAGCTGTGCTTCCACTTCGTTCGCTGTCTACTTCCCCCTTCTGCATCAGGTTTGTTGTCTTTGCGTCCTACAACTTCTCCTTGCCCTCCAACATTAATTATGTTGACACTTACCATCCGCCATCAGTTATGCTGCCACTCAGTCACGATGCTCTTTGGCTCATTCCAAGCGTGCACCAGAAACCCGAACCCCTGCAATCCTTGAACTCACCAGCGATTTCCCTTTCATGTTTTTCTTGTTTAGTGCAGGTACTCCAACCTTTGAAGGCAGCAGCCTTCAAACCTGCGCCACCAGTCATCCGCTACAACCAGGAGTTCAACATGTGTCCATTCCGTGTGGGCGTGACCCTGCTAACATTGACCCAGAGGGCACGAAAGCGAGTATATATATATATATACACACACATACCTTCTCCGCTTCTTCATACTGCTCTTTCCATACAAGATCATCTCGTCACCATCACAACAATGTCCTCAACCAGTTCCACCCTCATATCAGCTTCCTATCCCCTCGACAATCACCTTCCTCGTTCTCATCTTTACCCTGACTTCTTGCACGTGGTGTCTCGTCGCCATGTCTGTTCATCGCCCCCTGTCCAACGCACATCTGGACCACCGCTGCGGTCTGACACCTGACAAGTTTTCATGGTGAACCATTTAACATGGAATGTGTTGCTGCCGAGTGTTATCGAGACACAAATAACAAACAAAAACGTCTAGAAACTCATAATCCGATAGCCCTTATAACGGCGACGAGGCGACGATCGAAAGCAGTGCCCCGGCACTGCTTTGAACGCGTTCAAAGCAGTGCCCCGGCACTGCTTTGAACGTATGATATGATGATATGATGATGATTATGATTGATGATGATGGTGATTTTTCCAGCGTACACTGTCCGCAACTGCGGCAATCAACATCATGTTCCACTTGCCCGCAACTGCGGCCATCACCAACACTGCCCCTCGAAGCTCCACGGAGGGCGCTCGGCAGGTCGCCCGCTCGAGCCCCACTCGACTTCACGCTGAGGAGGCGAGCCCTCAGGGGCATGGTCCGCAACTGCGGCATGATCAGAGGGCCACCACTGCGCGCCATCAGCGCCCCATTCGCTCGAGCTCCAGTCCCACCAGGACCAGCCCTGCCATCTCGTGGCGGGACTGCGCGCCTCCCATGCGCCGCTGCCGCAGGCGTCCCAGGACCCAGCCGCCACTGCGGCACAAGAAGGGGTCGCATCGTCGCCGTTGGCAGCTTGCGGCGGTGGCGTGTTCCCAGCTCGCTCAGCCCAGCGTCTCTCCCCGCAACTGCGGTTCCCATCTGGGGTCGGACGCCCTTCCCCGCAACTGCGGTGTCCGCGTAGCTGCCCTTCTTGCCGCCCTTCTTGCCGCCCTTCCTGCCGCCCTTCCTGCGTTCCAACCTCGCGGCGAGTCTTTCAGGTGACCTGCGGCACGTATTGTGCGTGAAAGCCACCAGAGGGAAGTGCGCTCCGTGCCTCGCCCAGCCGAAGGCGCCATGCCATATCTTGTCGTCGAGGTTGCCCTGCTTCACTCTGAAGGGATAGCGCACCCAATCGTCGCGTTCCCTGCGCGCCATCCTTTGCTCGAACTCCGCATCTGCGGTCAAGGATTCGCAAGATGGCGTCAGGAAGGCGCGCATCTTGTTTTCAACGGGCTCAGCCTTGGGCACGTAAGTCTGAAGCATCTTCCCAGGGCCATTCGTGTAGTCGAAGACAGGGAAAGACGGATCATGCTGGGTCGTCAAGAATCCGCCCTCACGGTCGTGCAGAACACTCAGGCCATGGTGAAGCTTGTACTGCACAGGACAGTTTATGAACAAAATCGCCATGCTGTCTGCCCTGGGCTGGCCGCCTGCTGTCTTCCAGGGGGTCCACGCGGCGACGTCCACAGTCAGGCCGCAATTGCGGCACCAGGACGCAAGCTGGAACATGCACATGTTGAAGTCCCCCATGCAGACCTTCACGTCCCATTCCCTGACGTAGGCGACGAACCAGTTGTAGAACTCATGGAGCTTCGTGACGCCCCAGTCTTGGTTGGCCAAGCTGTGGTGGACGTGCACCGCCATGACGTTGAAGGAGCCCCCCAAATGGGGCACGGCCTGGTCCAGGTGGACGCGCACCACCATCGCCCTGGAGTACTTGTTGTGCAGCTTTGGCGCAGGAGCCTCCGCAACTGCGGACGGTTTCTTCTTCTTCTTCGTTTTGGACTTCTCCTGCTTGTGGAAGAGTCTCGCAAAGTCTACGTGTTCAATGTGGCCGCCACTGCGGTCCCTCATGCCAGCAAGGAGGGTCCCTGATGGCTCGCCGCCCTTAACGCACAGGTAGGTGCATTGAGTCCGACTCCGAAACCTATCGTCCGCAACTGCGGCTGCACTGTCCCTCGCGTCGTGCTCCCCACTGAGTACCGCGCAGGTCTCGTCGTCGCACTCGCAGAGGGCGATGATCTGGGCAGGGTTCGCGCGGAGCTGCGCCCACTCGTCCGCGCGTTGAGTGGGTCTAGCTGCAGTCCCTCCGAAGTTGGCCACGTAGAAGCCGACCCGTCCCGCTTCGAACTCCGTTTTCTCCTCCCATGCGTCGACAAGAGCTCTTTGTTTTTCCGACAGAATGCTTGTCTCGATGATGGGCACCCGTTTCCAGGGTCTCCGCGACGACAACACTCTCGGCATGTAGGAGTCATGTGCTGCCGCAACTGCGGCTCCCGCACCTCCCGGGGACTCAGCCTCGTCAGCGGAGGCAGCCGAGGACGCGACGGTGCTGTCGCCATCTTGCGTCCGCTGGTCGTCGTCATCATCCGCAACTGCGGCTTCCTCGTCTTTGCCTCCCTCCTCCTCCTCAGCGTTGTGGATGAACACCGTTCTGGCGAATCGAGGTCCACGGTCCATACTCCCTGAGGATGCGCTCGGGCGCGCGGGCGGCACATGCTTGCGTCTTCGCGTGCGCCACCTCGAGCCACGGTGGCTACGGAAATGGATCGTGAATGGGCATGGGGTCGGATGGAGGGAGGAGACAAAGAGGATTCGAGGAGTGGCAGAAGGAGGGCGAGGACTCAAAGGAACCGAAAGAACAACAAATGGACTGGCGGAGAAGCAGAAGGAGGGCGACGATTGCATGGGACTGTGAAAGGATTATTTTCACAGCAGCAGGAAGACCGCAACTGCGGTTTTGCCTCATCTCCTGCCCGCGCGGGAGCCGCTTGGAAAAAACAACTTCCCTCTGGACTTCCTGTGGGTCCGCAACTGCGGCCTGCATCACGCTAGGGCTGGGATTACCAGCGCCATTTGCCCTCCCAGGGTTCTCACTGTTTCCGAATGCACGAACTGCGACAGCGCCGAACGGTTCCCAGACGCCGCGTCGTTCGCGACTTTTTGCAGCCACCCAGCAAACGTGAGCGGCCATTGTTCCTTGTGCTGCTTGCACATCTCCTCGTCCCAATGCGTCTTGAACCATGCCCACTCCCCCCTCTGCTCGTCTGAGAGGACGCCTTTTCCGCGAGCCAGGCGATCCAGAGCTGCCATCCTGTTTTTCTTGATCTTGAACTCCTCGGGATTCCACTGCGCTAGGGCGTGTTTGTTAGCCAAAGCCGTTTCCACCGCAACTGCGGCCTCCTTCTTTGCACTCAAGGCGGCCTCGGCCTCTCGAATCTGCTTCTTGAGATCGTGCAACGCCTTCGTCCTGTCGTTCGCTTCCAGAGCCAGGCGCCGCTTTTTCGCCACCACTGCGGCTTCGTGGTCTCGCCGGGCAGTCAACGCTCGTAGGACCTCGTTGTCCTCCCGCGCCAGCTCTCTCAACCGCTTCTTTTGTTTGTGTTGTTGCTGTCGGCAATCCTGCGCTAGTTTCTCCATGCCCACTTGGAGCAGCATATCTTCCGCCTCGCGGAGCGTTTCTGCCAAGGACGTCGCCACTGCCACCTGCTCGGCCGCCTCTGCGTCGACCACGCAGTCCATGGATACCGAGGTTCCTTGAGGCCCAGGTGCCGCAACTGCGGCATCGCACTGTTCCGCAAGAGCCTCGGCCCACGAGGCCTCCTCTTGCTCTTCGTCCTCCTCGTGCTCCTCGTGCACCTCCTCCTCCTCCTCCTCCCCGCCCTCCTCATCGCCCTCCTCGTGGCCTGGCTCCTGGCCTAGCGCTTCGTCGCCGAGCTTCTCCAACACGGAATATGTGGCGTCGTGTTTCTCGTATTCGTGTATGAGACGCAGCACGTCATTGTAGGACCATTTCAAACGTTTCTGCTAGCATTCTTCCCTCACCTCCGCGACTGCGGTGTCCACTTTTGCTCGCAGCCCCCCTGCTTCCCAGAGTTCCGCCGCCTCTCGGCAAATCTCGAGATCTCCTGACTTGTCGAAGGGCGCTCGAATTCCCACTTTCAGGAAACCTTTCGCGGTGTCCAAGTGCAACTGCACATTCTCCAACACTGACAGCATCAAGTCGGCGCAATCGGAACGCCGCAACTGCGGCACGTGCTTCCCCAACGCCATTTGCTGCACCAGCGCTTTGGTCTCGAGGGCAATGTACCGGCGCTTCACGTGCTGGTTCAAGTCCGTGTCCACGGGCTGCGCAACTGCGGTCGCCCCCCCGCCGTGAATGATCAGCACGTAGCCGCGCTGCCAGGCGAGTCTCCGGACAGCGTCTGCTTTGTGCGGGGAATGGTCGTCGGCCATGAGGATGCGCCACTTTCCCCGCAACTGCGGGTCGTCGGGCCAGGCCCGCAAGTGCCGCTGCAAGAATGATACAACGTCGTCTGCGCGGTAGGACCCCTTCTCGGACGTCGCCGTGCTCACCCAAGACGGATAGCCGCGACTGCGGGCATGTGCGGCCAAGCCCTCAGCGATGACAGATCCCCACTTGAACATTAGCTCCGCCGGCGGTGGTCCGCAACTGCGGATGTCCTCCGCGTCGCTCGACACCGTCAGGTTCGCTGTCCACCGAGCCCTGCTGTCGTCATGCGCCTCGACAAGCGGGACAATGCCACCCTTCACAGCCAAGGTCGGCTTCGAGGCCGACGACGACTCGTTGTGGTGAAAGGGCGACTGGTCCCAGTTCAGGATGTGCGGGTCGTACCCAGAAGCTCCTCTGCAGCTGCGCGGACCCTGGCCACGTTCAAGATCATAGTCTCAAAACGAGATTGGAGCAACCATTTTGGCACCTTGTACTTGCGGTTCGGCTTCTTCATGCTTAGGCCGTAGGAGCGCCGCCACTTCACCCACCACCGAGGCCGCAAC